GCTTTTTATCGAAATCCTCAAATGTGTCAGACCGTCATCAGATGTGTAGATTGTAACCCCTTGTTTCCCCTTTTTAACATTTTCCGATAAATTCCTTTGGTGTAAAAAAAATATCTTTTTCGAAAAAGTATTACTAAGAGGGGGACCTGGTGACCTATTTACCAACCGGGGGGTCGGCTGTACATTGTGACAAATTCCACTGGCTTTATGTGATTTACAGTAAACTACAGTTCTAAGGATCTCAAAGGGATGCTTATTCTAGTCCGTCATAATCATAGTTCCTTATACGCATTTCAACAAAAATATACAGCATGTGTCTGACACTAAAAATCCCCCCATATATAAAAATAAATAAATGAAAATAAATAAAATAAATAAAATAATAATTTAATTAATAACAAATATAAAAAATAAATAATAAATTTAAAATTAAAAATAAAACAAAAAAACAAAAGAAACCCAAAAATAAAATCAAAACAATATATAAATAAACATTAAACAGCAACAAAATGTAATCGTTATTTCCGTCAGATCGCTTTAAGCGTGTTCGTTATAAACGTAGTTCAAAGTATGAGTATAACTGACTGACTGACAGACTGAGTTTAGTTTAACGCCGCAGTATGAGTATAAATAAAGAACTGTCCACAGTATTACCATCGTACAACAGTGATACAATGAGGCTACATATATATTAACAATATTGTTATATGATACTTTAAAATGCTTTTACACTTTTATGAGAATGAAATACGAAACATGATCTATTTATCCCGAACAACAGATGTGACCAGGTTATACGATCTGTCAATCTGCAGTACATTGATGTTCATGTACAGGGGGCAGGGATGGTCCGTTCATCTAAGACGCCGCTTGTTTGTTTATTTTTTGTTGTTTAACACCGTCTGAGCAATATTCCAGCTATGTGACGGCTGTCTGTAAAATGGCAAGTCTGGACCAGACAATCCAGTGTTTGATATCATGTTCATCGATCTACGCAACTAGGATATGAGATTCAACCAAGTCAGCGAGCCTGACCACCCGATTCCGTTAGTCGTCCCCCACGACAAGAATCAGTTACTGCTGTGGAAGATCAGTTCTATCCCGGATATTTACGGGTGTTAAGGCGCCGCAATTCGCTGAGCAGAGTTGCGTCCCTTAGGTACGACCGTCACCTTCGATTGGCGGTTTGAATCCGGGTTCGCCCGATTATGTATCCATGTTGGGTTTAACCAAAGTGGTAAACACCCGAAACCCATCGAACTGACGGACTGTGAGATAACTGGAATATACAAGTATTTCAAAAAATAAAAGGTGAAACTTGAAGGGGTTTAGTTTTGAGGCAAAAATGATGATTTTGTATCCGACCTTCACACCGCACCAACAGTCAATAGCCTGTCCCACACAATAGCGATGTGTCGCGATTCAACCGCTATTTACATATCGACATCACGTTCTAGATTACAGGCAGTGTTCTTTCTTTTTTTGAGTGAACTACCTTTTTTTGTTCCCACATTAAACAAATATGATACGTGGACTGCTTGAATGCATTACCCCTCGTGGCGATGTTTGGTAGAGCATTAGCAATATCGGTATCTCCTCGAGAAGCCTCCATGATGATCTTCGTACCATGTCACTGACCGGTATTTTCATTTAGATAAGTGACAGTGGTTTCAGTACATCACTGCGACGCGCTCTAATGTATTGTTGACCTCAGTGAAGCTTTTATCAGCAAACAGAAAACGAGCATGTATATTTTAAGCACGAAAAATAATTTTCTCTTCTATTTTCTCAATCAAGCGCACAGTGTACTTGATGACCTGTCAAAACCAGTGCCATCATAAGAGAATAAAACTGACTTCAGGGTGGGTGAGTGTTTGTTGTTTAACGCCGTACTCAGCAATATTCCAGCTATATGGCGGCGGTCTGTAAATAATCGAGTCTGGACCAGACAATACAGTGACTATGACTGACTGACGGCTGAGTTTAGTTTTACGCCGCTTTTAGCAATATTCCAGCAATATCACGGCGGGGACACCACAGTGACATGAACATCAATTGGGGTACGATGGAATGCATAAAAAAATCAGCAAGCCTGACTAGCCAATCCCGTCAGCCGCCTCTTATGACAAGCATGAAAACCAGTTCTACCCGTAACCCGGTATCTTCAAGTGCATCTAGGGGCGGTGGGGTAGCCTCTTATGGTTAAAGCGTTGGCTCGTCACGCCGAAGACCCGGGTTCGAATCTGAAGCCCATTTCTGGTGTCCCCGCCGTGAAGTTGCTGGAATATTGCTAAAAGCGGCGTAAAACCAAACTCAGTCAGTCAGTCAGTCAGTCAAAGTGCCTCTGAGAGGCTGAGTTGGGTTTAAGCCTGTTTCAAGGAGTGATTCAGTTGTATCACCACTTGTGAGGTTACTGAAGAGGAAAGGAATGAAGTGAGGCACGTCCCTAACTTTTACCACAGGTATGGAGCCAGCAAACCTAGGAACGGGGTGACCCGGGATTCGAACCTTAAACCTTTAACCGTGCAAGCCTCGGATATTTGTAGCTTTATCAACTCGTGGTGATATATTTGATATCAAAAGACACTCGGGCGAGATTCTCTATATATCAAGGTTAGAGACAAAGCCACAAGGCAAACGGCTGCTCGCATATTTCCCCAGCATTAGATCTCACTTCCGAGGTCGCGTTGCCATGGTTTCCTTTGTATACTGTAGGTGTATTGGCCGATACACCTAAGTATTTACCGAAACGTGCAGGTGTACAAAATGTATCTACCTATTTACCGCTTATGCAATGTGCTGATGTTTTGGGAAGGATTTCCTCCCGTAACCCCGTTTTTTATCATTAGTATTAGTGAGTTCGTATCCGCTCTGATGCATACTAACACTAACCTAACTCTAACCCTACCCTTTCATTTTCTATTTTCACTACAACACTAATTTACACTTTGACATTTCAAGCAGGGTTTACGGGCGGAACTCTTACCGTTTTGGGGGCTTTCCGGTGGATTTGAGCGGTATTTTCACAGACCACAAAAACAAGCAAAAACAACCTTACTAGAAAAAGAAGATACTGATACAAAATACGGAATAATGAATAAAGGATAACAAAACACAAACCTCATATATTTAAATTGACAGTTTACTCGTTGTTTACAGACCCGTGAAGGTCCGGGTTAGAATATTGATCTTCAGTAACCCATGCTTGTCGTAAGAGGCGACTAACGGGATCGGGTGGTCAGGCTCGCTGACTTGGTTGACACATGTCATCTGTTTCCAACTGCGCAGATCGATGCCCATGCTGTTGATCACTGGATTGTCTGGTCCAGACTCAATTATTTACAGACCAACGCCATATAGCTGGAATATTGCTGAGTGCAGCGTAAAACTAAACTCACTCACTCATTGTTTACATGATATTTTCGACTGAATGAACATTCCTGTTTTTACGCTTGATTGCAGACAACGGGTACACAAACATGTATACAAACATTTCGTTGTTACGTTGTACCTTGCATAGGCGGATCAACGTCCTGGATGTATCCGACCCTGCCCTGTGTACTCTCACGTGTTGTGATCACAAGCGAATTTATCAGCTGAAACTTCGGATAATCTAAGCTTACTGGAACTAGAAACCTTTATGCAACTTGATATATAGATGAATTAACGTTTCCATCGTCATCAAATTCAAACGGGATCGGGTGTTCAGGCTCGCTTGGTTGACATATGTCATCGGTTCCCAATTGCGCAGATCGATGCTCATGCTGTTGATCACTGGATTGTCTGGTCCAGACTCGATTATTTACAGACCGCCGCCATATAGCTGGAAATATTGCTGAGTGAGGCGTAAAACTAAACTCACTCACTCACTCACTCAAATTCAAAATCAAGCACTTGGCCTTCACAGCATTCACGAGAGCGCTTCTTGCCTGATTGACAGCTATCCAGACAATGTAATCAGAAACGTCCAGAGTCAATATGCTAAGTAAGGGCCAATCAAAACATTTATTAGGCCACTCATAGGCATTTCATACTTTAAAGAACACACGCTTGCACATTTTGCGAGGGCTACTGTTTGGATTAAGACTGACTGACTGACTGAGTTTGGTTTTACGCCGCTTTTAGCAATATTCCAGCAATATCACGGCGGAGGACACCAGAAATGGGATTCACTCATTGTACCCATGTGGGGATTCGAACCCGGGTCTTCGGCGTGACGAGCCAACGCTTTAACCACTAGACTACCCTCACCGCCCCCGTTTGGATTAAGAAGTGTACAGTGTGCAGGTCCATACTCAAATTGCACAAGTAAGGGCCTATCAAAACATTTTTTTTGCCCTTCGTGTACATTGGCTATCGCTTACTTGCACAGTTTGGACGTGTTCCTGTTTGGACGTCGAATGAAGTGAGTGAGTGAGTTTTTAGTTTTACGCCGCTTTTAGCAATATTCCAGCAACAGAAAGATTTCCGCCCGAAACCCCCTTTTTATAGCATTCTATGCCTAAGGATAGACGGGTTTCTTTTATATACAAAGTCTAACTCTAAACCTAACCCTAAACCTAACCCCTGAATGTAATCCCTAAACCTAACCCTAAACCCAAATCCCTCGAAATTTTCCAAATAAATTAGAAGACATTTCAAGCGGGGGTTACGGGCGGAACTCTTATCCCAGCAATATCACGGCGAAGGTCACAAGAAATGGTCATCACACATTGTATCCATGTGGGGAATCGAACCCGGGTCTTCGGTGTGACGGGCGGACGCCTTAATCACAAGGTTAACCCACCGCCCCATATTATGCGAGGCTCTCGTTTAAAGCACACACATCTTAACAATTTTAGTGTATTGCGTCATATCTAATATTATTTCATTTATTTAGTCTATTTTGTTTAATCTATTGAAAGTCCAAAATTATAAAAAATGATATGCGACTGTTTGTTGGTAATCCGCCCACAGCTTCAACAACTGCCTCGACGTGTATACCACTCCTCGGTGCGTGTTCGGACGATAAGCGCCTATGACAACGACCTCCGCTTGCATTCGTCGAATATCTGTGTCACTGTAGACCCGACACCTACATCAGTATTTAATGACACGTATTCATCCATCATGAGGTCTTTTTCTTGTTTTTTCAACTATCTTTTTTCCTTTCTTCTGTTCATTGCCAATGCTGCTACAATCGCCGTTGACCCAAGTAAGTAAAACTTCATGCGTTTTCACATAGTTTACATTGTAAAGATTCTGTCAATAGTCATGGGAGTTTGCAGATGTTACCTTATCAGCTAACACACCTAAACACGACGTATTTGTATGTTACACTTAAAAGAGATGAGTTGATCGTATTTATAATGTTTGAAGCGCACGTACAATCAACACAACGTTTTCGTTTCAAAGGGAAATAACTCTATATTCCTTCTAAAAGGTGTTTTCCTTGAGTAATGGCGTGGCAAATATATAACCATATTCATTAGCTGTACAAAGTGTAGTATGTGCATGAGAAGATTAAACAATTCCGAACGTATGAACGGCATGTTTGAAGAAGTGATGGGTGATCATATGTTTCGCTGGGCGTTGGGGTAGCCAAGTGGTTATTTTAAAGCGTTTGCTCGTCACGCCGAAGACCCGGTTTCGATTGCCCACATGGGTACAGTGTGTGAAGCCAATTTCTGGTGTCCCCCGCCGTGATATTGCTGGAATATTGCTAAAAACGCATTATTTCCCCTACTGCTAAGCCCAATCTGCAGCGCTAAAGCCCTAAATAAAGCAAGTCTAGATTTCATCAAGTTCTGAATCTCTGGTCTCCCTGGGGCTCCAATTTTCAATATAAATGGGCTTGTTTGTTACTATCAAAACTATATATATTTTCAGAGACTAAGCGTTAGTCTAAAAGCTAAACTGTGGTGCTGTATGGGTCAAATATATTCAACTTAACGAAATGGATCTTATAATACTCTGATTATTCGCAGATGGAACCCTTCCAGGGCGAGGTTTGTTTCACACATGACGTCAATGACTCAATCTGTTTATTAAATGCGCCACGACTGTTTCAGATTGCAAGGATCGGCTTGACAACTGCCACCATTACGGAGAGTCAGCCTGTGCGCCGCCATTCGAAGCCTGGGCCAGACACAACTGTGCCAACTACTGCACCTTCTGTACAGGTGAGTGAGTGAGTTGAGCTTTACGCCGCTTTTAGCAATATTCCAGCAATATCACGGCGGGGGACACCAGAAACGGGCTTCACACATTGTACACATGTGGGGAATCGAACCCGGGTCTTCAGCGTGACGAGCGGCGTGACTAGGCTCTGTACAGGTGATTGGTCCCTTTAGTGACAATGTCAGCATTAAGATCTTTTGCTCCGATACGAACTATTTCTGAATCATCTGTAGATTCCTGTATAGGAGATGAACCCATAGCGAACATTGACCTCCCAGTATAAACGAAGGACTTGTCAGTTACCTTAACAAATCGTCTTTCCTTCTTTACAGCCTCTATTTTGGTCTGAAACAACAAGAGCACTGGGTATAGATGCCATTGCGCTCAGAAACGACCTGTTCTATTTCCGGCATACAGAAATTATATATGCTCGACTAAATGGTTCTCTCACTCGTATGGAAAATTTAATGCCTCGACGATAACTGGCTCATTAAAAAGTTACGTAACATTAAGGCGTGACCTCTTATGGAGGTGTCCGTGACCTCTCATGGAGGTATCCCCAGATTTCAATGCAGATGGGTATCGTAAAGGAGTAAAACATAGGATATTAATTTTATTTTAAATGAATGTATGTTATGAATGAGTGAGAGAAAAACACCTTTGTTGAACTACACTGAATAATATCTTATTTGAATGACGCAAGTTACCATTATTATGGTGGATAACGACTCGTTTGGTCAAGGTGTTCGCTCTTCACGCCGTAGACCCGGTTCGATTCTTAACTAGTGAACAGTGCGAGAAAGACCATCTGTGGAGCATCCACCATGATGATGCTGGAAAGGGTTTAGTGCGGTGTGAAACAATACTCACGTGCTGCTTAGGACACCACAAAACCCCATATACACGTGACTCGAGATTGTCACAAGAACCAACCTTAGGAAAGCGTTTGGACGGGGCAGAGGCCCGGGTTCGAATCCGCGGACTGGTGCAATGACCAATTTCCGGTGTCTGCCGTGATATTGTTGAAATATTGCTAGAGCGGCTTAATTAAACCCAAATCAGTCATTCATAAAAACATACGAGGTTAAGTAGCTGTGTTTAAAACAGTTCAACATATCTCCGACCCGTGAAGGTCCGGGTTAGAATATTGATCTTCAGTAACCCATGCTTGTCGTAAGAGGCGACTAACGGGATTGGGTGGTCAGACTCGCTGACTTGGTTGACACATCTCTTCGGTTCCCAATTGCGCAGATCGATGCTCATGGTGTTGATCACTGGATTGTCTGGTCCAGACTCGATTATTTACAGACCGCCGCCACATAGTTGGAAATTGCTGAATGTGGCGTAAAACTTAACTCACTCAACATATCTCCACGATGTTTCACGTCTGAATCCGCTAATTCTGAATGTGTGATTAACCACTGCATCTGTGTCAGGTCCGACGACGCCTCTGCCCGAGTGTCACGACATCGCCGACGACTGCGACACGTATCTGAGGTCAGCTTGTACAAACCCCGAATACGCCACGTGGGCAAGAGAGCAGTGTCGGTACTTCTGTAGACTGTGTCCGTGTAAGTTGGTGGTCTCACGAAATCATCTTCATTCGCAGAAGTAGCAGGAATATTGAACCATAGGATTAGAAAACACTGTTGTCATAGCATGAAGCCCTCATCCACGTTTTTGTCGAGGTCAAGAGCATATTTATTCTCACGAATCCCTCTGAAAATGTGTAGGAGCTGAATAAACTAATACACACCCATGTTTAGAGGTAGCTAAAACTGACACAAACAAGAAATGGCCAGTCAATACCAGTTACTTGGTTAGTTGTTTAACGTCGCACTTCATCTATATGGCGGCTCTGTAAATAATCGAGTCTGGACCAAACAATCTAGTGATCAACAGCATGAGCATCAATCTACGTAATTGGGATACCATGACATGTGACAACCAACATAGCCAGTCTGACCACCCGATCCCATTAGTCACCTCTTATGACAAGCATGGGTTACCGAAGACCAATTCTAACACGGAATCTTCACGGGTCGATGGCGGTGTGTTTGATACAAGTATCATGGTCATACGGTTGTATTATTTTAGCGACAGTTTTCAGGTTAGTTCGTGTGGTTGTTGTTTTACGCCGCACTCAGCAGTATTCCAGCTATATGGCGGCGGTCTGTAAATACACGAGTCTGGACCAGACAATCCAGGGATTGTCATCATGAGCATCGATCTACTCAGCGTAGTAATGTTTTACTAACGCTTGTAACGTTTTGGTCAAAGCCAGTTTCAAGTGCATACTTTCGTTGACCTGAGAGTTAAATCATGATGAACATCTCCGTAATCACGGTATTTGATCGTAATTATATGCACGTCACTTAGCCGTTCTGTTCGTATCCCCTAGTGTAGTCTGTCTCACAGTCCCTGAACCACAATATTTTCTCTACTTTCGTTTTAATAAGAACCCAATGAGATAGTGAAAACTCATCACACTTTATAAGGAAGTTTAAAAGGAAAACAGAATGTTTGAAGTAGTTTTCTCATTCTGTCGACTCTTAACATAGAATCTCGTTCTACTTTTATAAGTTTGTAAAACCTACGTTATTAAGCACAAACAGTGATACTTAAGTTGAAAACTTTTAATAAAATTTGAAACAAAAATATACATGCAATACATCCAGCCATAATCTCGCGCTACAGATCAACACAAAGTATTGTTATATGAACCTGTATAGCTATAAACCTTATAATGAAATGTATGAACCTCAAGTGACAGAAGTAACAGACAAAGCAGGAGTGATTATTTTTAGTTTCGTATTTTTAGTTTTGTATCGTATTTTTAGTTTCGTATCACTGGGCTGTGCTTATAACTACTGTAACTAGGCCAGCGCTCATTTCATTCTGTAAATAGTAGGAAAACGATCGAAAACACAAATAGTAAAGCGAAAGATTCAGTCCAATTATTATTTTGCAGTGCAAGTACTTTCGGAAATTGATTCTTTAACTTCAACGCTGGCCCCCGAACGTAAGTCTGGGAATAGATACATTTACACAATTTTCAGTAAATTAAGACTTGTGCACAGTAGTCATTGTACCTCTGGTGATTCCATGAAGGAATGTGAGTGCATGCGGTTTTACGCTGCATTTAGCAATATTCCAGCAATAACACGGTGGTGGACATGTTACATTCAAGTCTTCACACCCGGGTCTTCGGCGTGACGAGCGAACGCTTTAACCACTTAGCTATCCAACCTCCCCAAAGAGGTCTTGAGACCTTATTCTGTGCGTAAGGGGCAGTAGGGTAGCCTAGTTTGATTCCCCACATGGGTACAATATGTGAAGCCCATTTCTGGTGTCCCCGCCGTGATATTGCTGGACTACTGCTAAAAGCGGCGTAAAACCATACTCACTGACTGTGCGTAAAATGGGGGTCAGCTATTGTGTGTGAATAAGACGACTATTTGTCTCCGAATCCTGCAACTGAATTGATGTTCATTCCATCAGCATCTGGTTTGCCCTGTCGAAATCCAACCATTCGGCTGTGATACATATGGGTACATTGCTGATCACGGCACAAAACAACATTCACTCAGACTTTCAAACTCGTTGGCTTAGCATCGAAGACGGTAAAATATGAGCGAGAACGTTTTTCTGAATAACAAAATATTTTCTGGTAGAAATAGTTTCATCAAAGTACTTTGTATATCAGTTTGATTTAAGAAACTTCATTATTCGAGATGATGATTGAATAAAATTAGTTTTGGATAATTTGTTACATCGTTTAAGTGGTATTCGTATTGTGAGTGCGTCAATTACTGACTGATGTACCATATGTGTGTGTTGGTAGAGTGCGTGGACAAGGTGAAGTGCTCCCTCTACGGAAACTCCACGTGTGATGTAACAGGCCCGTATCTCCACTGGGCCAGAGCCAACTGTCCAGCTCACTGCCATTTCTGCACGCGTAAGTAGAAACGTATTCTTTCTTCCGCAGTTCTCGTAGCTGCACCCGTGAAGGTCCGGGTTAGAATTGGCCTTCAGTAACCCATGCTTGTCGTAAGAGGCGACTAACGGGATCGGGTGGTTAGGCTCGCTGACTTGGTTGACACATGTCATCGGTTCCCAATTGAGCAGATCGATGTTCATGTTGTTGATCACTGGATTGTCTGGTCCAGACTCGATTATTTACAGACAGCCGCCACATAGCTGGAATAGTGCTGAGTGCGGCGTAAAACTCACTCACTCACTCTCGTAGTAGTTGCCGAGGTGCAAGCAAATTATTAAATGAATACCATTTCTTTCAATGTGATTTGTCTGTTGTTGTTTAAAAAAAATATTTTGCACCGACCCATTCATATACTGAATATTCACTTATATGTCGCCAGTTCAGGGTGGGGGTGGGGGGTGGGGTGGGGATAATCGTGTCTGATAAGTATCTTGCGTAGACTATGTACTTCCATGTCTGAGCCTATTGACAGCGCCCCCAACCCCGCCGTCCCCTGCCACGACATCGTCCCCAACTGCAACCACTACCACGACGACATCTGCACCAACCCGATCTACTCCCAGTGGGTCACGGACAACTGTCGACAGTTCTGCAAGCTTTGTTAAAATATGTGAACATGTCTTCGGCAATTGTTGAAAAAAATATTAGAAAAAACATCAGTTGAGAAATAAAACAGTTGTGTGTGTGTTTTGTAGGATCATTTGTTATTTGACTGTATTAGTGTGATTTTGTACCCTGACTTCTAATTTCGTTGCCTCTCTCTTGCATGGTGTGGTATATTGGATCTAAGATGTGTCAGCTGATTCAATTCAGCGTCAATATGTCGCGGGTACACATGCACTCCTTCATCTCTTATGAATAAACTCAGGTTCGTTCCGGTGGAGCAGTGATTCCAAACTGAATCTCTGTCTACATAAAATGAGAAGACAGCCGGCAGCTGATAAAGCTGATGGAACTTTAATTGGCCATGGTAAATGAAGAAAATATAATTTGAATTAATGGTGTAAGCGGAATTCAAACTAGTCATGATACGATGTATAGAAATACAAGTTGCGATAAGATAGTTCCGTTCAGTTCCAGTATATATTATTTGGGAATATAGAATCTCTGGTAATAACACTGGGTAAAAAAACAATTTTCCAGCTATATGACAATATGAATTAATTGAGTGCTGACCAGACAATCTGGGACAGCGCGTCGATCACTAATCAGCCAAGTCAGCCTGATCCCCTGATCACTGACCCCTGATCCTTGTGACCAGTATTCGAACAAATGAAATGTAAATTTCACGAGGGTCCCACTGGAAGAGCATAAAACCTGAGGTATTGATATATATCGCAGGAATAGATTTCTCGAGCGTTCCTGAATCGAGATCCAACCTCAAGACCCTGCCACTTGGGATTATATCAAAATGTGTTGATATGATTTTGTTATTTTTGAACCATTTTCGAATGTAATTTGAAGGAAGAAAGTAAGACCGTGTCCGTTTGACAGATCACAATTTCCACAAGATGTTCATAAGACGGGGCTGATTAAATGCCTTATTTTTCCTTAAGTCCAAAGTCCATTTTCCATGGACGCCATCGAATTTTTCATTCGCGACATCCATGTCGCAATTCAACTGGGTTTGGTGTGTAATGAATCCTAAAATGATTTAATTAATAACATGCATTAAAACGTAACAAACTACTGGAAAATCATCACGCTGAGAAGTTTGACGATGACAATACAGAATTACTCCCGGATGGCCTGTCACAGTATCTCCTCGTCATACGAACAGTCATTGTGTCGAAGATAACCATTGTTTGTCAAAATTGTAGGAATTTAAGAATTGTGCACTGTCATACTAGCGTGAGTGCTGCATGGAAGTCGAACTGTCACCGTAAATATATCAGTAGTTTTATTAGTTATTTAAACGACAAAACCCTTCCCAAATCCACGCGAAATATATGCTAAAAAGAGTCGATAATATAATTCCGACTACATCACATCTGTTTTGCGAAAAGGTGAACATATTCTGCCCCACCGGTGCCGATGGTAGCTTCAGATGTTCTGGAATAATGGAAAAGGAGGTCTTGCTACGGGGTTTCGGACAAGATTCGATTAATCGAATCCATCCCTTCTCAACCCATCCATAAAATCGCTGTCACATGTCTTGGTTCAGCTGTTACTCGGTGTTACAACACTATAGACCATCTGCAGTGTGATGTAACATCGGCTATAAGTTAGATGGAGAACACTAAAAGATGTTATCCTGAAAGAGTAGGGAAGGGAAGGTGAGTTCGTCCCAGCTCTATGTATGTATGTATGTATGTATGTATGTATGTATGTATGTATGTATGTATGTATGTATGTATGTATGTATGTATGTATGTATGTATGTATGTATGTATGTATGTATGTATGTGTGTGTGTGTGTGTGTGTGTGTGTGTATGTATGTATGTATGTATGTATGTATGTATGTATGTATGTATGTATGTGTATGTATGTATGTGTATGTATGTATGTATGTGGTATGTATGTATGTATGTACGTACGTACGCATGCACGCATGCACGCACGTATGTATGTATGTGATATGTATGTATGTATGCCTGTATGTATGTGTGTGCGCGCGCGTTCGTATGTATATATGTATGCATGCATGCATGTGTATGTATGCGTGCGTGCGTGCATGTATGTATGTGTGCGTGCGTGCGTGCATGCATGTATGCATGTATGCATGTATGTGTGTATTAAGAATGGGTTGCTTCTGGGTGAAGGCTGCAATCGCATTTGAGGCCACGTGAGCATGGCATGGTCCCGCAGTTCTCCAGTTGAAAGACAAAACCACGTTTTAATCAAGTTAAGGTCACTACGTGTATGTCTACTTCCTTAAATAGGCCACGTCAAAATAAGTGGCCAGGAAAGTGAAGCCGAAATTCTACTTTAACCAAAGTCACGAAAGACGTTCGTGATAATACTCGTACAAATTACACCGCTCGCAACCTTGCTCCATTCTACCGAGGGCAGGGGCGGACACCCCACCCCCACCCCCCTCCATTCTTCAGAACTCTTTCCCCTGAGGAGCATTTCCTCCAAACCTTTGGTCTTCATGATTCATGTGCACCCCTCTTCTCCAAAATTCTGGATTCGCCCCTGCGAGTGGTACCATATGAAAAGTGCATTTGTTGTGTCCAACGTCGTCCTGTTGCGGATAAAAGCAACGTAGCACAACACTCACTAACACTTGATTTGACTGAATGAGTTTAGTTTTACGCCGCACTCAGCAATATTCCAGCTATATGGCGGCGGTCTGTAAATAATCCAGTCTGGACCAGACAATCCAGTGATCAACAGCGTGAGCATCGATCTGCGCAGTTGGGACACGATGACATGTGTCAATCAAGTCAGCGAGCCTGACCACCCGATCCCGTTAGTCGCCTCTTACGACAAGCACGGGTTACTGCAGATCTATTCTAACCCGGACTTACACGGGTAATAATATCAATAACATGAACCCAGTTCGCACATATGTGGGGATGGGAACAGAAAACAGAAGTATACATAATTCAATAACATCAGAAAGCTATCTTGGAAAATGATTAATTACATGCCTTTATAAGGCATTTGAATTGCAAGTGTATTATAGCCCACTTTTAATCTTAGTGACTCCCGTGTAATCTAGAAGGCACGGCAAATCTATCACAGATATGTGTTACGTCATTTCAGCTGAGAAAAAAAATGAAGAGTATATAAGTTAGCTCATGTAATCGGACCAGCTGTTTTGGAGTCGACTTCACCTGCTCTATCTGTCGACTAGTTTACGTTGTTGTATAACCGGTGCACAGATGTTGTCTCTTGTCGTCGCTGCCGCCGTCGTTGCCTTTGCAAACGCTCAGATTGATCCAAGTGAGTACTCTGGAAACTTTTTGTCGTGGATTCGAGTCCTTACCCATCCCGTTATTTATCTATTGGTGAGAGTGATGGGGTTGACACTGGCACAGTCGTATAAGGCGGTGAGCTGGTCTGTTCTGTGAGTGAGTATTGTTTTACGCCGCTTTTAGCAATATTCCAACAATATCACGGCGAGGGACACCACAATGTACCGTATATGACCGTCTATAAGCCGAATTTTGAGGACCAAAAAAGCAGTCTGTAGAAGGGGTCGTCTTATCCATGGGTTACACTTTCGTCAAACTTTTGTGTGGAATCGAACCTGGTCTTCAGCATACCGGGCGGGAGCTTTAACCACTAGGCTACCCCACCGCGCCGGTCTGTTCTGTGAGTGATTCTGTTCTAAGAATACGGATACAATATGTACGTGAAATTAAAATCTCATTCGAACATAAAACACTAAATTGGAAACTGTCATGGCTGGCTAGAATCGGCTTGAAATACATGAATACATTGATTCTTTGTACCAATAATATTAAGAATATGCTACAGATATATTATCATATTTGGAAACAAAACTAGGGGTATTTTGTTAAGAAAACAGACGTTTTGTTTTGAAATACACTGTGCCTGTTGTTTTGATGGACATTGAAGCCGAAGCCTCACCGTGTTTGACCGCTTGACTCCAGAGAGTATCTAGGACTTCAGTCCTGCCCCACAACGAAGCACATGTGATACATGTGGTTTCACCTTAGGCAAGTGAGTTTGTTCAAAATTGCCACTGTTCACCCAGCAGACAACGGGTACCCGGTGAAATAAGTCGTGAGACTATTAAACCTTCCAGCGCCTAACAGGCAGCTTGGGTTATCCGGGGTAATAATGATCAGATTGTGCGCTTTGATCAGTACATCTGGCCTGGGAAAGGCGCGTTATAAATATTCTCATAATGATCATCATCATCATCATTAGTGCAAGAATCTATAACGAATCGACGTAAATGATACTCACATCTACCTCAATGATAAATTAATTGAACATAGATAATACTATCATCTACATAGGTGATACTTTCAGCTTCGTAGAAGATATTTACGTCTACGAAGATGATACTTTGCTTCTATGCTGTTGATGTTTAAAGTTACGTATATGCTAGTTTGATTTACTTAGGAGAAAGCATCATCTAAATGTTATCGAATTATCGATTTGGTAACCAGTAACGGATAAAAGTTCCCGGACAGATTTATATTACCTCTATCTTAATTAAAAGTGATTGATTTGTTTGACGTACAACCTTGATGCGTATTTATAATAATTTATTATGAGTGAGTGAGTTACTGTTTAACGTCACATCGGCAGTATCTCAGCCATATCGTGACGAGAATAATTTATAAAATAAAATATAAAAACATGTTTGAAGAGTAAAACCTGTCGACGATGGACAGTAAAAATAATAGAGTATCACAGATATGAATATAAAACTAGCATGTAAAACTAAAACAAAGACAGTACAATATAAAACACGGGCTATAGATCGCCAACAACTGAAGGTAGATCACCATACTAAGGACCATGGGGACTTACAGTACCTTTGCTACCTGCATGGACCCTAGCTGGATTTACACCATCCCTTCAGCCGCTGGCGATGGAAGGAAGATTTAGCCGAAATTTGAAATAACAAAAATACTACGATTAAAAAGTATGGTTGAGCGAAATTGACTTTTGAAGATTTGGGACTTACGTACCCTCTCAGGAGGACACTTATTTTACTATACTTTAAACCCCTTTGAGGATACAGCCACTAACAATCGCAGTTGCTAATTTATACTACCATTTATAATAAAATAACATTTATATATTCACAAAACATATTGTTATAACATTATGAATAATGTATATCCAAAGTTTGTTTCCACTAGATCCACTAGGTAGTATCTCCCGCGTAGACATAAGTATCATCTAGACAGATGACAATTTCATCCACGTAGATGAGTTTAGTTTTACGCCGCACTCAGCAATATTCCAGCTAAATGGCGGCAATCTGTAAGTAGACGAACCTGGACCAGACAATCCAGTGATCAAGAGCATTAACATCGATCATGTGCATGGGTCAGCCAAGTCAGCGAGCCTGACCACCCAATCCCGTTAGTCGCCTCTTACGACAAGCATGGGTTACTGAAGATCAATTCAAACCCGGACCTTCACGGGTCGTATATGAAAATATAATCCACGAAGATGATAAAGTGAAAACTGTGGCCATAGATGCAGGGTCATGGGTCTGTGTTGACCTTTGGTACGACCTGTGTCGACATGAATAAACTGATCCACGTGGTATATAAGGCTGTGTTGGTTTTGTCGCTTAAGGCGACGCAATTAGCTGTGCAGAGTGTTCTCCCTTGGGAATGCCAGGAACATATGGTCGTGGGTTAGAATCCCGGTTTGTGTTTTTCGGTTTGTCAACAACAAACACGTTCTAATTGGAATTCATCCAGAGGGGTAAACGAGAGTTTAGTTTTACGCCGCACTCAGCAATTTTCCAGCTATATGGCGACGGCCTGTAACTAATCGAGTCTGGACCAGACAATCCAGTGATCAACAGCATGAGCATCGATCTACGCAAATGGGATACGATGACAAGTGTCAACCAAGTCAGCGATCCTGACCACCCGATCCCATTAGTCGCCTCTTACGACAAGCACGGGTTACTGAAGATCAATCCTAACCCGGATCTCCAGACTCGATTATTTACAGACCGCCGCCATATAGCTGGAATATTGCTGAGTGCGGCGTGAAACTAAACTAACTCACTCACTCTAACCCGGATCTCCATCGGTTACAATATATACTCTCCAAAAAAAGAAACGCATATAGGAATTTCAACTGTATTTTTATGTTTATTTTGAAACATCTTGTAGGCTCTATGAGTCAATGAAATATAGCGAAATTGCACACTGGGAATGCAGACTTATCCGTCTTTGGCACCAACTCAAGGAAAGTCAGTTTGAGTGTCACATGGAGACGTGTGGTGGCGCTGAAGTCAACACCTCGTGTGACCACCGTGGGCATCCAGAACTGCACGGCATCGCCTCGGCATCGAACGAATAAGTCTCAGAATCTCGTGTTGCCCAATCGCAGCCCACTCTGCCTGTAGTGCCTGTGCGAGTTGTAACGGCGTCGCACCCGTCTGTCCAGGGCATCCCACAGATGTTCGATCGGGTTTAAGTCCGGTGATCTTGAGGGCCAGGGGAGCACATTGATGTTGTGGTTCTGGAGGAAGTCTCTAGTGTGACGTGCTGTGTGGGGCCTGGCATTGTCCTGTTGAAACAACTCCCTCTGGCGATCAATGGTTGGAAGGAGGTGTGGGCGTAGGATTTCGTCACAGTACCGTTGAGCTGTCAGGTTGCCCTGGATCATCACCAAATCACTTCTCCTACGGCAGGTGATCGCTCCCAACATCATAACACTTCCCCGGCCGAATCTGTCCACCTGGGGAACGCAAGCATCGGCGAAACGTTCACGTCGACGTCTGTACACCCGCATTCTTCCATCGCGTCGTTCCAATAGAAATCGTGATTCATCACTGAATCAGATTCTACGCCAATTCGGTAGGTTCCAGGCCTGAACGTTGGTGCATCATTGAACTCGATGTCGACGATGTTGTTGTCGAAGCACAGGGCCAAAATAAGGTCTTCTGGGACGTAAACTAGCCTCTCTCAACCTGTTCCTGACGGTCTGTGCAGAAAGTTTCCTCAATTCGGGTATTTGTCGAGCGGTACTGGTCGCCGTAGCTGTTCCATGATGCAGGTGATGTACCCGGATGTAGCGATCCTGCGCCGCAGTGGTCGCTCGAGGTAGCCCACAACGAGGGGCATCTGCTACCGCATTCTGCCGGCGATATCTCTCCCAGAGCCGTGAAATGGTGCTTTGGTGAACATTCATGCATCGGGCAACTGCACGTTGAGACTGGCCAGCTTCAAGCAATCCAATGGCGATATGACGGTTGGCTTCACTTAGACGGCATTTTGCGTTCGTCAACAATATTAATACAGTGAATAATAATGTGTCCATTTATATAGCGCCAAACTCCACACCAGGTATGCTCATAGCGCTAACAATCAATAAGGCATTATTAAAGTCCATAGAACTTTTTGTAAAGAAAGGTTTTGAGATGGCACTTAAAGTTTTCAAGGGTTGGAGACAGCTTAAGTTCATCAGGGAGGGAATTCCATTTGACTGATGCCATGTTCTGATAAGACTTGCAGCCAAACGATTTTAGGTTCCACTTTGGTACATAGAGCAGATTAGCCGAGGATGAACGCAGGGTTCTTGTTGGCATGTAAGGAGAGAGGAGTTCTTGAAGATACACTGGTGCAATACCATGAATGGATTGATAAGCAAGTGTAAGGATCTTATAGTCAATGCGAGCCTCAATAGGCAACCAGTGAAGAGACAACAGGATGGGAGTGATGTGGCAGCGTTTTGGTTGGAGAGTAACTATGCGGGCAGCTGTGTTCTGGATTTGTTGGAGCTTTTGGATGGACTCTTGTGAAGCTGCAACCAACAAGCTGTTGCAATAGTCAAGTCGTGAGAGAATCAGTGTTCTCACCAGGGCAGCCGCAGCATCCTGTGACAGGAGATGTCTGATCTGTCCAATGTTACGGAGATGGAAGTAACATTTTCTGCACAGATCCAGAATCTGTTTCTTCATGGAGAGGTCAGGTTGGAGTAGGACGCCAAGATTTCTGACATGTAGAGAAGGCTGAATGACCATGTTTCCAACTTTCAACTCAACATGTTGTGATTTTACTAACATGTTTCTTGTGCCAACAATCATACCCTCTGTCTTGTGTTCATTTAATTTTAGTTTGTTATTGAACATCCATGAACCAATATGGTCAATGGCATCTTCAATTCTGGTCAAGCCAGAACTGTTGTCATAGCCCATGGTAATACCATCAAACAACAAGCATAAAGATGAGTATCAGGTCAAGTTCTTTGGTATACATAAACAATGATGATCCCTGTGGTACACCACACAAAGAATAATAGCTTCCAAATACAGTGAATAATCGACAGACAGCGATCAACCTTTTATACCCATCATTGAGACTATCTGACCCCCAACTTTCACGTGCATTGCATGTGAATTGTGTATTCTGTGACACTTGGTGAAAATCATGCTGTTTAATATGGGTATTTTACGGATGGTGTGTTTTGTTGTTACAAAACATAAACACCATAGGACTCAAAACAAAACAGAGCAAAACCTTTTGTAAAATAACGTTTTAATTCATTGCTACATGAAATTGCTATTTTCATGATGCGTTTCTTTTTTGGGAGAGTATATTTGAGCCATAATCTGTTTCAGCATGTGTGGATAAGCTTCCCAATTGTGACGTATTCCCGGAGGACTCGTGCAAGGGGAACTATGTGGCGTGGGCCAAGGAAAACTGCAACAACACCTGCAAACTGTGCATAGGTACACTGTCGACATACAGCCAAACACTGTTGTGTCGAACGTTGTTGTGTCGAATGTTCGGTTATCTTGAAGTATAAGTGCTATACTGCGTATTCCTTATGCAGTCGTCATTTTGCGGTTTGTTCGAACAACGGATAACTCGAAATATTTCAACTTCGACACAACGGTGTTAGATTGTATAAAATTGCAAATAGAAACATGCTTTCCCAGGAATTATGCGTTGCTTTAAGCTTCTCGATAATAGAAATTCTACTTCGATATTCGTTAGTTCATTGGCTCGTTATTTAATGCCGCACTCAGCAATATTCCAGCTATATGGCGGCGGTCTGTAAATAATCGAGTCTGAACCAATCAATCCAGTGATCAACAGCATGAGCATCAATGTACGCAATTGGGATACGATGACATGTGTCAACCAAGTCAACGAGCCTGACCACCCGATCCCGTTAGTTGCCTCTTACGACAAGCATGGGTTACTGAAGACCGATTCTAACCCGGACCTTCACGGGTTTACTTCGATATTGACTCATGAGTGTGTCCAGAATTTAGATTAATTGATTTGCAAATTGGTTTGGAGTTGGTCTACTGTTCAGCAGTAATTTTTGTGAAACATTTTTTTAAAAGCTGCCAAAAGGGGTACCAAAAATATCCACTTATGTTTAATAGTCGCAGAAAATATACAAAGCAGAACTGTTTTTCGATACTGATTCACTTGATACGAATATCATGGTTTGTAGTTGTTCGGCAACTGTTTTCAGCCTTCTAACGTTTCGGTAACGTTTGTAATTATTATTTGGTTTAATCAAATTTTTAGAGTATACTTTATTTTACCAGGCAATTTATGTAAACGTTTTAGGGCATCAATTTAGTTATTATATACTATATTTAGTTATTATATACTATATATACTTGTACATTATACTGTTTATTGATTTCGTTACGATAGTGCAAGTGAAAATATCATATATAAAATAAAATTTGCATTCCTTACATATAAGACAAGCATAAAATGTCATATGAATAGACAAATATTACCCTCAACTGTGTAAAATACGTTGAAAGTTGGACAACTGTCTCTCAGATGTATGAAGAGCTTCAATGATTGTAAGTCCGCCCGATAATGTACATACCACAGGATATCCGGCAACCTGGTCGATCTTATATTTAGGGGTGAGGTGAGGTGAAATTGGGTTTAACGTCGTGTTTCAGAATATTTCGCTCATATGACGACGTGCATGCGTGTGTATGTGTATGTGCGGCTGCTTGTACTAGCCCAGACTGAAGCTGGTTTTATAGTGCTAGCCCACTGAGATACCATGCCGCAGTGAAGCATGAATACCCCACTCAGACACATTATACTGACTCCGACCAGTCCTTGTTGTACCCATTAATGCCGAGCGCCATACAGGGACCAACAAGTACCATATTTTAACGTCTTTTGGTATGACGCGGCCGGGGATCGAACCCGCGACCTTTCGCTCTCCGGGCGGACGCTCTAACCACTACACCACGGAGGCGGTCTTATATTTAGGGGCATGTTTAGTGGACCTTTAGTCCCAGAAAAACACTTGTAATTCCTATAAAATACATGTATGTCATGTATCTACATTGAAACAAAACTTTTATTAATCCTAAAGGAGCCAGGAAGTCCTACAGCTGAGGCAATCTAGACTTGAGCTGGACTCCTATTGTAATATATTTTCCAGGTCATGGGAGATGGGGTAATATACAGTGAACCAGTTGGTCAATCTGTTGGTCAACCTCCCTTTGGTCAATAGCCCTTTCAGCTATACATTTCGCTATCCAGGACCAACGAAACCACCACCACCCTGTGCTGATGTCCTCAGCGATTGTGACAAATATGACAAGTCCACGTGCACGGACCCCACATTCGACCAGTGGGCTCAAAACAAGTGTCGGTACTACTGCAGACTCTGTTCAGGTGGGTAAACATATTCATCCAGTTGGTGGGAGACGAATGGTGAATCTCCTGTTGACTCTAGATTAGTGGGTAAACTATGACACACAAATATTTATACATATTTAGACTCTGTTCAGGTGGGTAAACATATTCATCCAGTTGGTGGGAGACGAATGTTCAATCTCCTGTAGACTCTAGATTAGTGGGTAAACTATGACACACAAATATTTATACATATTTAGACTCTGTTCAGGTGGGTAAATATATTCATCCAGTTGGTGGGAGACGAATGTTCAATCTCCTGTAGACTCTAGATTAGTGGGTAAACTATGACACACAAATATTTATACATATTTAGACTCTGTTCAGGTGGGTAAACATATTCATCCAGTTGGTGGGAGACGAATGTTGAATCTCCTGTTGACTCCAGATTAGAGGGTAAACTGTGACACACAAATATTTATACATATTTAGACTCTGTTCAGGTGGGTAAACATATTCATCCAGTTGGTGGGAGACGAATGTTGAATATCCTGTTGACTCCAGATTAGAGGGTAAACTGTGACACACAAATATTTATACATATTTAGACTCTGTTCAGGTGGGTAAACATATTCATCCAGTTGGTGGGAGACGAATGTTGAATATCCTGTTGACTCCAGATTAGAGGGTAAACTGTGACACACAAATATTTATACATATTTAGACTCTGTTTAGGTGGGTAAATATATTCATCCAGTTGGTGGGAGACGAATGTTGAATCGCCTGTAGACTCTAGATTCGAGGGTAAACTATCACACACAAATATTTATACATATTTAGACTCTGTTCAGGTGGGTAAACATATTCATCCAGTTGGTGGGAGACGAATGTTCAATCTCCTGTAGACTCTAGATTAGTGGGTAAACTATGACACACAAATATTTATACATATTTAGACTCTGTTCAGGTGGGTAAACATATTCATCCAGTTGGTGGGAGACGAATGTTCAATCGCCTGTAGACTCTAGATTAGTGGGTAAACTATGACACACAAATATTTATACATATTTAGACTCTGTTCAGGTGGGTAAACATATTCATCCGGTTGGTGGGAGACGAATGTTCAATCTTCTGTAGTTTCCAGAAAATTGGATTAATTTTACTCAGCAGTCCATTCAGACTCTTGACTTCATTATCTAGTGTGACCACCACGAGCAGCAATAACTGCAGGACAGCGTCTATGCATGGACGTTGACGTGAGAAATGTGGTATGACGTGGGGTCTGAGAGCTTGGTCGATGTAGCGCACCGCTGTGATGCCGCCTCCTCTCCCTGGACCAAGGTTCTGGAACACCACAGGACCCACTTTCTGGTTCAGGCCTATTCCATCCCATACCATGATGCTTGCACCATCACATGAATCTCTTTCCATAACACATTGGTCTGAGTAACGCCGGACACGTCGTCGCCATATTCTTCTGCCATCTGTAGTTGATACACAGTACCGACTCCCATCTGTGAACAGAACAGTTCTCCTTTGCCTGTATCGCCAGTTTTGATGTTTTAGGGCAAACTGTAAACGTTCACGCCCATGACGAGGGGTGAGGATAGGTCCACGGTAAGGTCTACGGCAATGGAGGTTCCCGCTGTTGAGATGTTGGCGCACTGTATCAGTACTGATTGGTCTTCCGTGTGTTCCCACTGTCTGGCGTGCTGTTTCGGATGCCTGCATGAGGGGATTCTGTAGATGCTGTCGCACAACATGGCGGTCTTGTCGTCTTGTGGTCACCCTTGGTGACGGGGACGATCATTTGTGGTGTTGGTGGCCCGGAAACGTTGCTGCAGCCTGTGGATGGTCCGAACGTTGACCTGGAAGTGATTGGCAACGGCTTGTGCAGTGTGGTCAGCTTCAAGTCTTCCTAGCGCCTGGTTCCTCTGAGCTGTCGTGAGTCGCGGCATCCTGCTGACGTTGTAATGTGAATGTTTCAACCAGGTTTGAGGGTGCATTTTACAGGGCTGGTCCTTGTGAACAGCACGTGCAGCATGAGTTGCATGAAAAAACATGGAGAACACCGAACCATATCCGAGATCAGGTTGCGTTTTTGAAACCATTTCCTGGGTTTTCCTTTGTGAGTTTGGGAAGGACTGTCTTAGCTCAGATAAAGTTGGAGATGTTGTCAAAAATATACAATCAAAACATTAAATGAGTTTACAGTTATCCGTTTCTGCGACGGAAAATTCCAAACTGACGTTTGTTTTGCTGCTTAGTATATGTATATTGAACCACTTGGTCTCAGAACAAATGTACAGGTGGCTGTTTAGTTTGAACTACCTTAAAGGTCACATGCAACCAAAAAATCAAACATAATTAAAACACAATTATCACTTCTTCATGACATATAATATGCATTGCTGATTATGAAAAAAACAAATAAACAAAATTATAAGCGTATAATCGCAAATCAAAAGTGCAATATTCTGTACTTGGGTTTACCTCCCTCGAAACGAAGCAGCCGGATACCGAACCCAGTCAGAGCAGGTGGGTGTGCACTCAAGTGTAACGGCTGGTTCATTAGCAGATGCCGCCTTCACGGCTCATTGTGTGTGTATATATAGAGATGTTGGGTTTTGTAAATACATGCTCATTTTTGTGTATAACATTTTGCAATCAACAGACATCATGTCATGTGTTCAAGTATCACACCTGCCTGTCTGTGTAATTACATAATGTGACAGAGACCGAACTCGGGCCATAAATCAATGCGTTTTGTTTATGGTGTATAGCCTGATTGGTGTTAAGTTCAAATTGCATGTGGTCAGTGATCGCAGTTGTGTATTGAATATTGTCATTAGCAGACAGGCAGGCAGACAGACACACAGGTGTCAATAAAACAAGACATTGAGTTTTGTCTGTGACAGCGACATATCTATATCACAGTTAGAAATTGTGTCAACGCTAAATAATGACATTGCTTTTAAGTATCGAACTGAGAAAGTGACTCGGTAAGAAGAACGTGTGGTGAAATAGACAAATGGAATTATATAAACAGTTTATTTACTGTCATAACATATAAAAAGCTCGCGCCTGTGAGATATCAACAAAACATTATGAAAATAGCTTACACCAAAGCCTTCACCGAGTATTCACCAGACAGCCCGCTTCCAAGTTGCGCGAACCTATTTCACTGCGCACGTGCTATGAGCGCAGCCCAGCTGTTGAAACCCGTATTCCCCCGAAAAGTCTGGGGAAAATTAGTGAAACGTTTGAACTCCGATTTCGCGCGGTTTTTTTCATCGCGTTATTTTTCAACTTTATAAGTTGAATTTGCATTTTTGACGCTTTGTTTCGGTAAGTCCATACCGAAAGGTATCAGAATCTGCAAAGTTGTGTTTTACGTTGCATGTGACCTTTAAGTTGCTAATCCTATTAACACAACGCAAATGATTCTGTGGTGCATTTATCGTACCAAGACAGTTGCTATGTGTATGTGCATGTTTGCCCACGCCCACCATCGGACAACAGTTCCCGTTGGGCTGATAATTGTGTTTGAAGGGTGCACTGAATTTAGACATTGATAAATGTAAAATCTGGGTGCAAACTTTGCATAAATTCGCAATGTTTCACATATTGCAGCTGCGGAACTCGCAATGAAAGACTCTCAGACAACACCAATACCTGCTACTCGTGAGTACAATGTAATAAGATGAGTGAGTGAGTTTAGTTTTACGCCGCACTCAGCAATATTCAGCGATATGGCGGCGGTCTGTAAATAATCGTACAGTGCAAGGCTCGGGTATGTGCATTGTGCAGGCAGTAGATGTTGGAGTACTTCATGCAAATATGAGAAAGGTAGTTGGTTCGATACCCTGGCCATACCAAACCAAACGGCGTTAAAATATGCTTCTTGTTGTTGCCCTGTCTGACTCTCGGCATCACGTGATCAAACAATGAAACATTGTCTCATAGTTGATTGAAGTGACCATGTTGGACTGCCGTATGGTACGAAGTTGAATTGATACAAAATGGGTGCAGTGCATATTGTTTGTCTGTGAACCAGCCTTTGTATCTAAGTAGGTAAGCAGAATGATACCTGACCAGTTCCAGCAGCCAAACAATTGCAGATGTACATTATACATAAGTGAACTATACTTCCTGTTAAACTCATTTTACTCCACCTTTTACTTGTACATGCATTTGTTTCAGAGTGTAAGGACAAACTTAATTGCAAAATGTATGGAAAAGACTCTTGCCAAGGACAGTATGCGGGCTGGGCCAAGGCGAACTGCATGGAGTATTGTGGATTTTGTGCAGGTACGTATCTAGGAAATACAGTCTTGACATAACACATTCAATTCAGTCGATGGAAAAAATGACAATAACACGATTGCCCGTTACATGCAACCGTTCAGTGGGATCCTTGAGGTATCGTTACATGAGCTGTGCAAACACGAAATGATTAAGCTGATCTCATTAATATCAGATCTGATCTTCATGAACGTTCTGATCTTCTGTGGTCGCATAATCAAATACAAGTTGTGCGTAGGATATTCGTAAAGAGTGAGTGAGTGAGTAAGTGAGTGAGTGAGTGAGTTTTTGCACCCGTAGCCTCTAGCAATATTCCAGCGGTGCATTTCAGAAATGATCTTGAAACTGTATACCCATTTTGGGAATCAAACGCAGGACTTCGGCGTGACGAGCAAACGCTTTATCCACCAGGCTACCCAACCGCCCCTACTAGGTGGAACTTGAACCAGTAAGTTGTGAGCCTTCTGAACCGATTCAGCTGCGTTAGTCTGTCACCTTGATTGGGACATATCGATTTGCATAAATGGAATACACATTTCTTCGTTTGGAATTTGTCGTTTGAGCTCGTTTACAAGATACACACATCAAATATGTTTGTCTGAATGCTTCGCTCAAACGTACCGAGATTTAGTGCGGTTTATGGAACTGTGCTCAGATCTTCAGACTGAGTAAAAAATCTGATTCTAAAAATCGAAAAATATTTACCGTTTTTTCTCCTTCCACCAATTCTCTCTCTTTCCATAAGAGCCGACTGACGGGGTCGGGTGGTCAGGCTTGCTGACCTGGTTGGCACATGTCATCGTATCCCAATTGCGTAGATCGATGCTCATGCTGTTGATCACTGGATTGTCTGGTCCAGACTCGATTATTTACAGACCGCCGCCACATAGCTGGAAAATTGCTGTGTGCGGCGTAAAACTAAACTTACTCACTCACTTACATCTACCTGGATGATACTTATGTCTACGCGGGAGATACTACGTCGTGAATCAAACGGAAACAAACTTTGGATAAAATTTATTCATAATACTATAAGTTCACATCAAGGTTGTATGGCAAACACATCAATCACACATTAAGCTAGAGGTAACATAAAGGTGTCACTCATTAGCCCTTTCCCTGTAATGGGACGTAAACATCAATCATGTATCAAAGAAAGATCCATACTACATGTATGTATATTTACCGTTCATTTCAGGTTCCCGTGAAGAACCGGGTTAGAATTGGCCTTCAGTAACCCATGCTTGTCGTAAGAGGCGACTAACGGGATTGGGTGGTCAGGCTCGCTGACCTGGTTGGCACATGTCATCGTATCCCAATTGCGCAGATCGATGTTCATGATGTTGATCACTGGATTGTCTGGTCCAGATTCGATTATTTACAGACCGCCGCCATATAGCTGGAATATTGCTGAGTGCGGCGTAAAAATAAACTCACTCACTCACTCATTGCAGGTGTCCCTACCCCACCCCCTGCTTGCATAGACAAAGTACCCAACTGCGCTGCATATGGAAAGGATGTCTGCACGGACCCCGACTATGTCCTATGGGTGGATGATCATTGCGCCAAATCCTGCAACACTTGTGGGGGTAGGTGCCATGAAATGTAAAATATGAAACGGCTCGTGAAGTGGTCTTTCTTTCTGATTTGAGTTGTCTGTACAGAGTTGCGCCCCATCGTACCAGGAACCATGTGGCCGAATTCCAGATAATAAATATAATAATAGTAATGAGGGTACTTATCCCGCGCCATACTCCACACCACAAGGGGGCATGCACAAAGCGCGCACAAACAGCACAACATTATTCCTCGGATGCCAACCTTAGATTCACCAAAGCAGTAAACGTCTAGGATCTTCTGATACAGATCAAAATGATATTGGGTCACACAGGCACAAATAAGTTCACCTTCTAATGAGTGAGTTTTGGTTTTAAGCCGCTTTCAGCAATATTTCAGCAATATCACGGCTGAGGACACCAGTAGTGGCCTTCACACAATGTACCCAAGAGGAGAATCGAACCCGGGTCTTCGGCGTGACGAGCGAACGCTTTAACCACTAGGCTACCCCACCGCTCCTTATAATGTAACTCAAACTGTACTGATGTTGTTTTAATGGCATTCAGTTAACATAATGTAGCCATAAAATAAATATATGCCCCATATCTATATGAAGAGGCATGATTGAGATCGATTGGGACATTTGAAATAGTTGTTTTGGGTATAATGGATATGATAAATATGGCATAATGTATGCAACCATGTCATCTTTCTTCGCTTTCTCTCTTCTACTTTCGTTTTTCCTTTGTTTTTACAACTGAAGGTGATAAAGCTGAATATTGTGTGTCAGTATACTTGATAACCGAGTCATCATTTCCAGGTGGCTCAAAAATACGCCCGGTCCCGTCACGTCCGGTCCAGGCCCCATCACTTCCGGTCCAGGCCCCATCACTTCCGGCCCAGGGCCCGTCACTTCCGGTCCAGGATTGTTGACACCTCCGGGCCCTCATATGCTTACACCACCTATGCCCGGAAAATAAAATCAATACAGACTAATGCCGTGTAATATTGTTTTTCTTTCTTGGCGAATGCATTCCCCTATAGGCTGGGCTAGGAGTGAGTGAGTGAGTCAGTTTAGTTTTACGCCACACTCAGCAATATTCCAGCTATATGGCGGCGGTCTGTAAACAATCGAATCTGGACCAGACAATCCAGTGATCAACAGCATGAGCATCGATCTGCGCAATTGGGAACCGATGACATGTGTCAACCAAGCCAGCGAGACTGACCACTCTATCCCGTTAGTCGTCTCTTACGACAAGCATGGGTTACTGAAGGTTCATTCTAACCCGGACCTTCACGGGTCCGGCTGGGCTAGGAATAATTTAGAGTGAAGTATTCGTGGAACCATGATTGGCTCGGCAGAAACCATTGCTAGAATATGTACAGATCTTGACCAACTCATCTAAACATCTTTACTCAAATATTATTATTTGTTTAATTTAAACAGAAACGCATTTGATGACTTAAAAAAAACAGTTATCCCTGTAATAGAAACGATGGTTAGATCCTCTTGTTTGGTACTTTTACAATAATCTCAGTGTGATAACTCTTTATTACACAGTAACTGAACACGTCATGCATATCACCAACATCTTTGCCCCCTAAGGGGGCATCAGAATATCTCATTCATATCGTCACTGTATTAAACGTGTTTGGATGAGTGAGTGAGTATAGTTACAGTAACTTGGAAACATCACGGAAGGGGCTTCAAATGTTGTACTCAGGCATTCGAACCCTGGTGCGACGATCGAATACTATAACCACTAGGCTACCCAAATCCATTCCTAAGTTTGTTATGTGAAGACATCGACTCCCACATGAATGACATCGACGCTCTGTTAAATCGCACTCTGTAAACAGATTTGGCTGTTATGACGGTATTTAGTAGTAGTTTAACCACATCATAAGGGACGTTCTGACTGGAGTGATTGGGTTTTAACCATAAGGGCAGCATTTTGTTTTCTGTGTTTCTCATCGCCCGACCGACCCTTCCAATTTTATTGCCGACTCCCCCCAAAACCTTTTTTTTTCATTCCAACACCGCCGACTCGAACCTAAAACGTACCGCCTCGTCTTATAAAATGTTTATCTTTTAGTCGCTGCCTAAAGTTCAAAGAAAGCGAGAAATTGTAATAAGAATTACAATAAATGAAAATCAAGAACATTATTCAAATATTTTGTCTTTATTAATTTTTTCCCCGACCGACCGACCCATGTTCAGAACTTGGTGGCTACGTGAAACACATTAACAAATGATGTCTAACAATGTACAATGTGCGGCTACGAGGTTTTGAGTTTAATGATCTCTTATTTTTTCTGTACCTGATTTGAAAAAGAAATAAATAGTAAAACGTGATATTTCCCCGATAGCTGTGATCTCAGTCACGTGTAAACAGACACTTTGGTTTAAACAGAGGGCGACAGAAGAAACCCCATCTTGCATTTTTCAACTCAAAAAGAACACAGCCACAAATAACTCCACCTTCTAATGAGTGAGTGTTGGTTTTGCGCCGCTTTAAGCAATATTCCAGCAATATCACGGCGGGGGACACCAGAAATGGGCTTCATATATTGTACCCACGTAGCGAATCGAACCCGGGTCTTCGGCGTGGCGAGCGAACGCTTTAACCACTAGGCTACCTCACCGCCCCTCTTTGGAAAAGAAGCCCAAAGCACCGGGCGTGTACTTTCTTTAGTACTTCAATCTATTTTCATAGTGTCCACCGAACGAAGACAACGTTTAGTTTCAAAAATAGTTTTCTAGATTTCTAATTACTCAATCTAGAGCCTTCTGATTACAAGATACCGTTAGTCACCTCTTACGAGAAAATTAGGTTGCTGAAGTCCAATTCTATTTGAGGACATCTCAAATACCAATTAAATATATACTCTTCAAAAAAAAGAAACTACAAATAGGAACAATTTGAATTTTCGGAAAATATTTGACACAAACCAATCCATGCTGAATCCCAACATGTGGGAGAATGGTTGCCGACGATAAAACGTTTAAAAAAAAAGGAAAAGTTGAACAAAAACGTAACGTTACACTCACGTTTATAGTGAATCACTAAAACGCACATGAAATGCACGTGCATCATAAAAATGTGTATTCACCCGAATGACAGTAGGCTTTAAAAAGCCACATCAACGGTACACCACATGCATTGCTTTAAGCCACTATGGACGACACAAGAATTCCAAGACTGACAGAAGCTCAAAGACACAACGCCATTGGCCATTTGCAAAGAGGGGCATCGCAGCATGGGGTGGCACTTCGCCGTATCCAGACAGAGCATCTCAAACCTATGGACCCGATACAACAATACTTGGAGTGTTAATGACAGACACAGGCCATTTCGACCTACAGTTACCACCGCCGCCCAGGATCGCTACATCCGGTTGAGACATCTTCGTTCAAACACCATGGCCGCATCATCCACAACAATCCAAATCCCTGGACTGCGCCGAATATCCGACCAGACAGTGCGAAACTGGCTATGGGAAGCCATACTTTTTACCAGAAGACCAATTCAACGTCACGTCGTTCCCTTCATCAACGTCAACTGTTGATCTTTGGAGCATGACAGTGCTTTACCTCACGTTGCATGTGTTTGACAGGTGTTACCTTGACCTTCTCGATCACCCGATTTGTCCCCCATTGAACATCTATGGGCTGCTCTTGATCGACGCTTGCGCCATCGTAATCCGACCCCTCAGACAGTACAAGAACTGCACACAGCACTTCAACAAGACGCCAAGTGTAGCAAAACATTCCCCAAGACAGCAATCAGCATCTCCTTTCTTCTGTGGGTCACCGCTGCCAAGCCGTTTGATGCGCATGGTGGTCACACCAGATACTGACATTTTACTCTGACCAAGTGGCTTTAATAGCCCTCTGTGGTTTTACCAAACACTTTCTGGATAATAATCTTTTGGAAATTTGTAAAGTGATGATTTTACTGTAATTAAGCAATGATGTCATGTTTGATATGCACTCAGTAAGTAAACTCCAAAACAGCATGTATAGTTCCTTTTTTTATTTGAAGAGTATATATACAAGAGTCTTTAAATGACGAAATCCTCACATACCCATACCCACAGATAACATTCAAGCGACATATCATAAATAAATATTTTATAAATATATTATAATATTTTAACAGCATTGAGGTAACATCTATAAATCCATGTAATCAGCAAATCGCAATGCTAGACAAAGTACTTTGAAATATACTACAGGGCAAAAAACGTTATCACCGACTTCACTTGACCAGAAATAGAAACAGAGATTTATGATAATTATTTCACAAACCAAAATCATTTTACTGAATATTCATTGTAACGCTGGTCTTGCATTTGTCAATATTCATTAAGGAAGAGTCAAGGGGTCAAAATTAAAAATTACACAAATCAGAGTTCATTCGAAGAGTGCATAAAGAGTCACATAATGAGACACATGAGTCAGGGAACATGTCATCAATAACACACGTCTCCTCATTGACGTCGTCAGTTGGTCCCTGACGTCAGCAGGAATCCAAGAGAGTCTGTTCAAGTTCCTGTCGGTTTGCTGGAAGTGGTACACGCTGTCTCAGCTGACGACCAAGATGATCCCAGATATGTTCAATGGGGTTCATGTCTGGAGAACACGCTGATCAAGGCAATATAAACGTTGTGCAGGTATTCTCGAACAATTCTGGCGGTGTGAGGCTTTTTTGTCGTGCTGCAAAATGACTCCTCTTGGCTGTTTGCGCCAGTTTCTCTACTCTACGTCAAAAAACTCGTACTTTGCCATCGTGTCTGAATGGACTGAACTGACTTTCATCTATAAAGAGAACTCTCGCTCAGTCACGTCGCTGCCACCGACGTACAGTTCGTGCGCACTGCAGTCTGCATTGACAGTGTAGACGGGCCAAGGCCATTCCACGAAAGGGCCGGTAGGCTTCTATACCAGCCAAACCAAGTCGTCTGCTGATGGACGTGTCCTAGTGCTGTCGCCGCCGTTGACGTCGCCGTTGACGTCGGTCACAAATCTGTTCCGGAGATATATTTGCCGGATGTAGCGGACTTCATCCGGTGTCGTGACTCTTCGTCTTCCCGATCTCGGGAGGTCTTTGGTCTGGCCTGTTTGCTGGTAGAGGTTTATTAATTTGCTGATGGTGGCCTGGTTGCAGTTGCAGGTTCTTGCCAGCTGACTTGGTGAAACCCCCCATATTGGCCATACCGATCACCCTGTCTCGTTGTGCTTGCGTAAGTCTTGGCATATTCGTTCTGGTCTTTTGGGTTACAGCATGCTTTCTCTGTCCAACATGCAGAGATTTATACAACAATCATGCACGTGCGTTTGGACCAATGTCCCACAATTACGTTTTTCACGTTTTGAAAAATGCACGATTCGTACGAAGTTTTCGGACAGCTGCGTTGTGATCGGGACCAGGTGGCGCATTGGCGAATGTTTTCTGCTTGGGTTCAAACCTGTACCAGCATTTTTACTTATTAGTACTAAGCTTCTTTTGTCCGGTAGTTTATACAACATGTAAATCATTATTAGGTCAATTTTCTTGATTCAGTCCCCGCGTTTTGTTATCTGAACTTTTGTCCCAGTTAACTTTTAGTCTTCCACGCAAGTTTTCGAGAAAGAAAATTAGATAAAGACTCGACCTCCACCTGTTAATCTCTAGTTTGACGAAGCATATTGTGGTCTCGAGAAAGCATATTGTGGTCTCGAGAAATTCTTCCTGTACAAATGTATCCTCTTGTAATTCTGTTTTTTGTTGGCTTTGTCCGAGGACAGGTATCTACTGCTGGCCGTAAGTATTGGAGCAATCACCCTGAAAATTAGAGGGACAATGATGATAGTATTATATAATTTACAACAAAGCATAGACACGCCAATGCCGCACAGACTAGTACATTCTTATATGTACATATTGTTGATCAAAACGTGTGTATTTGTATCAGTTAACATAGTGATATTTATATTACTAAAGGATATCTATTTTTATTTTTTATATTTATTTTTGTTTTGTACGATTTTATCAGCTGACTTTACACGTTACCTAAGTTTCGTTAAATGAGATTTTTAGAAGTTGGTATGATGAAGTGGAACAGATTGATAAGTGGATAAGTGTTTCTCCGTACCCATATTAAATAAAGGTATGTACCTTTTTCTTAGGGTTCTTTCGTCAAATTTAAAGTAATTGTGATTTATGTATTGTTCATGCTTCAGAAGACTTCGTTTAATATTTTAGCATTTGTCGTAAGTTATTGAGAAACTCTGTCCACCCAGCAGTAAATGGGTACCCGGTGGAATAAGTAAAGTTAACAACGAAAACGAAAGAAAGATGAACCCTTTGACGTAATCCAGCGCAAACGAAATCTGGTTGATCCATTGTGACAGTGCCTTGGTATTGAAAATGTGACTCAATTCTGAGTCGTAATTTGTATTAACGAAACGATTTTGGACACGAGCGTTTGGTAAAAGATATACTAGTATGGTAGAATACGTTATTATATCTATGGCACCAGTGTAAAATATTCGTTGTTCATTACTTTTGTTGTGTCAGGCGACCCTTGCTACAAATAGACCACACATACCTACACCCTTTTCGCGAACACCTGGTGGCATTACTCATATATAGTGATCCGCTTTTAAAATGTTAAGCACAGGGGAATCTGATTAGAATCCGCCAATACTCGAGATGGTAATAATCAGCTATCCTCTGATATGTCATATTTACAAGTTCCCAACTGTGAAATTAATTTGTCGCAAGCAGTGCTGATTGCATACTCCTCGCTGAATGAGTGAGTGAGTTAAGTTTTACGCCGCTTTTAGCAATATTCCAGAAATATCACGGCGGGGACACCAGAACTGGGATTGACACATTGTACCCATGTGGGGAATCGAACCCGGTTCTTCTGTGTGAAAAGGCTTTAAGTAGGCTACCCATCGCCCGTACTCTCAGTTGACTTGGTTCATACATGTCATTGTATCCCAAGCGTTGGCCTTTTTGCATCATTATAATATGTTTCCTTAGATATTCGAAACTGGCTTTTCTATGACGTTGATGTCTTCAGCCCATGGGTTTGCAGTGAATGCTTCTTCCCGAATTGACCTCGGCGTAAAACTAAACTCACTCACTCACTCTTCCTGAATTGACTTGGTTCTGTTTGTTGTATCTAGCCTGTGGGGACAAAATCGCCAACTGCGCAGCGTATGGCCAGGCCTCCTGTACCATGTACCCTGATTGGGCCAAGGAGAACTGCAACAGCTACTGCAAGTTCTGTAAAGGTAGACTTCATTTACACATCCCAGTCTCGTAACATGCTCGTCAGACTCCACGAGAGTCTAATATGGAACAAGTTCTTATGGATAACAACTTCTTTATTTCGTGAGTGCGACGTTTCGATACAGATTCTTGTACCGTTGTCAAGCAAGAGTGATACATGAAGTGGTTTCCTGTTAGGAAAGGCTCCTGGGTGCTGTTGTACAAAGCAACCTTAGCGCTATGGTTGTCATAAGTCAGTGTTATTGTATGGGAGTTGCGGTCGCCTTAGTACTAAGATCGCTTTGAACAACAGCACCTTGTACCTTATCCATCGTGTAGTGGTAAGAGCGTCCGACCGGAGTGCGGAAGGTCGTGGGGTCGATCCCCGACCGCGTCATACCAAAAGACGTTAAAATATGGTACTTGTTGGTCCCTGCCTGGCGCTCGGCATTAATGGGTACAACAAGGACTGGTCGGCTCGGAGTCAGTATAATGTGTCTAAGTGGGGTATTCATGCTTCACTGCGGCATGGTATCTCAGTGAGCTAGCACTATAAAACCAGCTTAAGTCTGGGCTAGTACAAGCAGCCGCACATACACACATACACACACATGCACGTCGTCATATGAGCGAAATATTCTCAAGCACGACGTTAAACCCAATTCCACCACCACCACCTTATCCATCGGTTATAGAGCAGGGACTAAGTCGATCACTCCCGACAACACCATTTACTTTGGATTATTGCTCATGCTTAATGGTTTGCCTGGTCCAGATTCGACTTTTACATGCATACTAGTACTGACTGCGGCGTAAAACAAAAGTCACTCTCACTCAACTAAAGAAGCATATGCTTGTGATTAACTTATGAGTAGGGTTTAGTAAGAACATCATTTACACATTGTCATAATTAGTCTAATCGCGGACATTTAAGAAACTATCTTATCACAAAAAATGTTATATACATGTATAGTGTCGAATAAATACGCGCTAATGAGAGGTGCAGTTTGTTTTATTGCTTGTGCTGGAAAATGACACCATTTTTTTAAATACGTTATTAATACATATCCGGTCTATTATGGGGAATATTGTATTCAAGAAATCTAGCCAGCTGAATATCGTACACTACCGGGCAAAGGAAAGTATACATCCATATTACAAGTTGGTTGAAAAAGAAACACGTAAGAAAGAGTTATTCGATGGTTTTGTTTTTCATACGGGTCCCTATCCCTAACAATCGTATGACGTCATAATATGAATGCAGTGCACGGAGCTCGAAAACCGTTCGATTAGTTGTTTTTGAGTTCACTATGTACACATTTATTTTACCGACTTTCACTACTTTATTTATACTATTTTATACATTGAATCGTTTGCACACATAATTAACCATTTTTATAGCAGTTTTAAGCTTGTCAGAATATGTTTCACTGATTTAAAAAATCAAGTCGAGAAACAGACGCCATTTTGTTTACATGTCATAGAGTCGGTGGCGATCTTTAAAATAACATAAAATAAAGTAAAATTTTGTACATTTAACAATGATGGGATAAATCCGCTGTATGCTCCTCCCTCGGGTATTACGGTCTGATGTACGCCTCTTGTAGCAGTGTCATCCCTTGCCTACCGGCTCGGGTGGCACTGCTATATAGAGGCGTAGATCAGACTGTATTACCCTCGAGAGAAGCATACAACTTATATTATCATCCAAAACTGTGTTCCACTGGAGATATTGCTTGCATGAGATCAAACGATATCTCCTGGGAGATCACATTGCTTTGACCCAATCAATTACATGACTCACAATGCTATGACGTAAAAAGCCCTGACGACATCACAGTGCCATGACGTCATAAACTTGATGACGTCACAATGCTATGACATCACTGTACTGCACGTCTAATGGCAATATCGTCTTTCAGAGAGATTTCATTTTTCATTGAAAACTAATGAAGAGTGATTTTTGATGATAAACAGAATCTCACCCTCGTGTCTTCTGATATCAAATATATCAACACTCGTTGATAAAAGTAAAATATCTTCTGCAAGCCTCGGATATTTCTAACTTTATCAACTTGTGTTGATGTAACTGATATCAGAAGACACTTGTGTGAGATTCTCTATCTATATGAAGAGGCTCTTGAATGTCCATTTTGCCCCAGCTGATCTGCCCTGTGAAGACGTGGATGCCAACTGCGGCAGCTACGACATTGCCACCTGCAACAACCCCCAGTTCAGCCACTGGGCCGAGACTCAGTGTCGCTACTACTGTCGACGTTGTTCAGGTGAGAACCAAATAACCCCGATAACTCGATGACATGTCAACACGTTAAACGTCGAGTTATCCGTATTAAAAAAAAAGCAGAGTAATCATTTTGGACATAGGGCGATGAGGTTCTCCCCGTTCATGGTAGTTGTTTTGACATAAAAAGAAGCATATCGAAATACTGATCGCAAGTGACAATGTCAAACTGACTGAAATGATATTTTATGAGTCTTGATATATGTTTATTATACTGTCAGTCCGATTAAAATGATATTATGTGAGCTTTGTGATATGTTTATTACAATGTCAAACGAATTGAAATGATATTTTATGAGTCTTGTGATATGTTTATTATAATGTCAAACAGATTGAAATAATTTTTGTGAGCCTTGTGATAATTACGTTTATTCCTGTCATAAATCATTTCGCGAGCGCAATGTTTCTTTTAGCAGCTGTTAAACATAATGGATGTTTACAGCGTATTTTCTCTTTGTATTGGAAATCGCGTGTGAATGAAATGTTTGAGTGATATGCCCAATTCATTATATAGTGCCAAATAACAGCTATGATTGTCAGCAGAAAATAGTGACACTTTGGGAGAATAAACAACAACATTCAAATATACTGACAACGGTAGTCAACAACATTTTTAGATGGAATGCATTGTATACTAGTATATGGGACTTGAAAGTAGGTCCTCATTTGCATATTTATCGAATCCTGGTACCGAGTTGACTGGATGTTGTTTTCCAGCTGCGGCTCTAGCTGCCAAGGATGCCTTGCAAACAACACTCCCTCCATCATGTAAGTTTTATTTGTCGTATATACTTTCATAGCAGGACTACTTCTTGTATGTAGGTCCTCTGGAAGTCATTGTAATGATCTTATTTCTGTTCCATCGATATTTTTCTCTATTTCTTTCACTAATTGCAAAAATGCAGTTTCGTCGCGCCTATCATTGAAACGCGATGAAATGTAATTAGTCCAAAGAAATGAGAGTGTAACGTTTCAACAAGAATGAAGAAAAATGTAGCAGACTTGATAAGAAGTGAATGCTTGCAGAATGTGCAGATCGTGATAGAATTTACCCATCATCTTGATGGTGGCCACTTGTCTTAGTTCCGCCTGTCTGAGTCCGCTTGCACAAAACGATCTTAGCTCTAAGACGATTGTAACTCCCATGGTGCACCATCGGCGTACTATAGTCATATAGTTCAGATCTCTTTGCGGAAGTGTATTCGTAAGTATTAGGTGACGTTATAGGCTGTCAACTGTGGCCCGTGCTCACGCTATTGACCTTTGGATTTTTATTCTGGTTCGACTATGTTCTCAGTTCCTTTAGCAACGGGATACAATATTAGAGCATTGAATTTAAGGAGAACCTACTTGCAAACTCGGATATCACGAATGTAAAGGTAAATACTCGTATTTTCGGATAACAGGAATGTAGAAACCATTACTTAAGGGTTATCAAACCATTGTACACTTCCTACAACGTCGGATGTGACGAAATATGTGTTTAACAGTTTATAAAATCCACATTGAATTACCTCAATAGTCTCAACAGTATTCTTAATTACGATTTCCGAGGAGTGTGTTTGTTTTATCCGGACTTTATTTCAGTGTGCAAGGACAAGATAGACTGTCAGGATTACAAGCAGGATTCATGTACCCTATATCCTGGATGGGCAAAGGAAAACTGCATGGCGTTCTGTGGAATCTGCAAAGGTGGGACCTTAGTATTTTACTCGAATGACCAACTACAAAATGACCAGACGAATGTACTCTTTTTGTTTTCTTAACATCTGTCACCGGACTAATATTACCGCTTCCCTACAAATACATGAACGATACATGTCAAAATATGCGGGATGTGTGCGTGCGTTCGTGCGTCCGTGCTTCCGTGCGTCCGTGTGTACATCACTCAAATTAAGGCCCATCGGATTCTTTCCTAGAATATGCAGTGTGTCACCTGAGTCATACCAGTTACATGAAAACTTCCTTTGAGCAGTATTTCGTCGGAAAGGAACAGTTACCCTAAGGCGAAACCTTCGGCCCCTAAGACACAAATGGAGGCCGTGGGGTAGCCTAGTGGTTAAAGCCCATTCCTGGTGTCCCCCGCAGTGATATTGCTGGAATATTGCTAAAAGCGGCGTAAAACCCAACTCACTCACTCACTTGATGCGTGAATATCATGTCGATGTCACATTTACGCCTTAATAATTGTAGTTTCGCGACAAAATCCACGCGGTACTCAAGTTTTGAGGAACTGGATTGGAAAGGAACTTTGTCTAATGATTTGTGTTTCCTCTCTTTTTACATAATTATGTTCTTTGCTTTAGCCATTGTTTGAATTTCTGAACACCGACTGAATAACCGCTGCTCTTCGGTTATAGCTCAATAACGATCAAAGTTTTGCGGAAATCGTGAACAAATTAATATTTAATGTTGTATTTTAAAAATAAAGCTAGGGTTTGGGTTGATTTTTATAGATTTTCTTGGACCAGCCCGCTCTATCAGAAGCTGTGCATTGGAATTGGATTAATAGAAAAGAAAGCAAAAATAGCGAAAGTAGAAATGTAGTAACTGTGGTATCTGTCAGCGAGTGAGTGAGTATGGTTTTACGCCGCTTTTTAGCAATATTCCAGCAATATCACGGCGGGGGACACCAGAAATGGGCTTCACACATTGTACCCATGTGGGTATCTGTCAGCGAATGTTAATGAGGTCTAACAGACCTGGAGAGCTAAGGACTTTCTTGCTACTACTTTCTATAAATTTTACTCGTTCTCATTGTTTATATGTTCTGTATTTTCTAGGGTATAAAAGGGGCGGTGTGGTAGCCAAGTGGTTAAAGCGTCCGCCCGTCACACGGAAGACCTGTGATCGATTCCCTGTGTAGGAACATTGTGTGAAGCCCATTTCCGGTGCCCCTCGCCGTGATGTTGCTGGAATATTATATTTCTAAAAGCGGCGTAAAACCATATTCACTCACTCTTCGGCGAAAATCCTCAAACTGTTCACATGCATTTTCATGATTGTAAATCAGCCATTTTCATGGCGTGTTTCAGGCGCCCCAACACCTCCACCAGTGTGTGCTGACGCAAATCCCGGATGTGCAGGCTACGACAAGGCGACCACCTGCAAGGACCCCAACTTCACCCTGTGGATTCGGGCCAACTGCGCAAAATACTGCGGTCTTTGCAGCGGTAGCGTTCATTAATATTTTCAGTTATACATTTTAAAAACAGAAATTACGGAAACAAGATTTACAGATTCACCTAAAGAAGAGAATGTAAAGTGAAAAAGCGAAAGTACTAAAAGTATTATAATATTTACATTTTCCAAATTCGATCGGGTGGTCAGGCTCGCTGAATTGGTTGACACATGCCATCGTATCCCAATATTCCAGATCAACGCAAGTTGATCAATGGATTGTTTGGTCCAGATTCGATTATTTACAGACAGACGCTACATACGTGGAATATTGTTGAGTGCGGCGTTAAACAATAAACAATTAATTAAAAACAATAAAGACCTGTAAACAATCCTGTTTGGATCAGACAAACCTATGATTCTTATTATGGAGAGCGAACTACCCGATCCATTACTTCATACCGATCATACTTTCACATTACTTAGACAAGGTTTCATGGACACATTGAAAGTTTTCAGAAAACATTTTACTGTTCTATCATTATGATTCTGAATTCAGATGGAAGCGCGACTTCAGGGCCAGGGCCTATCGGGCCAGCCACCCCGGGCCCTCTGACCCCCGCAGGTCCCGTGGGGTATTCCCCAGCACCCCTGGGGAAGTAGTGCAACATCAATCGGCATCTCCTTTCTTCTGTGGGTCACCGCTGCCAAGCCGTTTGATGCGCATGGTGGTCACACCAGATACTGACATTTTACTCTGACCAAGTGGCTTTAATAGCCCTCTGTGGTTTTACCAAACACTTTCTGGATAATAATCTTTTGGAAATTTGTAAAGTGATGATTTTACTGTAATTAAGCAATGATGTCATGTTTGATATGCACTCAGTAAGTAAACTCCAAAACAGCATGTATAGTTCCTTTTTTTATTTGAAGAGTATATATACAAGAGTCTTGAAATGACGAAATCCTCACATACCCATACCCACAGATAACATTCAAGCGACATAACATAAATACATATTTTATAAATATATTATAATATTTTAACAGCATTGAGGTAACATCTATAAATCCATGTAATCAGCAAATCGCAATGCTAGACAAAGTACTTTGAAATATACTACAGGGCAAAAAACGTTATCACCGACTTCACTTGACCAGAAATAGAAACAGAGATTTATGATAATTATTTCACAAACCAAAATCATTTTCCAATAATTTTACTGAATAGTCATTGTAACGCTGGTCTTGCATTTGTCAATATTCATTAAGGAAGAGTCAAGGGGTCAAAATTAAAAATTACACAAATCAGAGTTCATTCGAAGAGTGCATAAAGAGTCACATAATGAGACACATGAGTCAGGGAACATGTCATCAATAGCGAGTGGCATCCATACACGCCAACACACGTCTCCTCATTGACGTCGTCAGTTGGTCCCTGACGTCAGCAGGAATCCAAGAGAGTCTGTTCAAGTTCCTGTCGGTTTGCTGGAAGTGGTACACGCTGTCTCAGCTGACGACCAAGATGATCCCAGATATGTTCAATGGGGTTCATGTCTGGAGAACACGCTGATCAAGGCAATACAAACGTTGTGCAGGTATTCTCGAACAATTCTGGCGGTGTGAGGCTTTTTGTCGTGCTGCAAAATGACTCCTCTTGGCTGTTGTCGAATAAAGTTTGAACGCAGTTTGGCGCCAGTTTCTCTACTCTACGTCGAAAAACTCGTACTTTGCCATCGTGTCTGAATGGACTGAACTGACTTTCATCTATAAAGAGCACTCTCTCTCAGTCACGTCGCTGCCACCGACGTACAGTTCGTGCGCACTGCAGTCTGCATTGACAGTGTAGACGGGTCAAGGCCATTCCACGAAAGGGCCGGTAGGCTTCTATACCAGCCAAACCAAGTCGTCTAAGGACTGTTCGTCTGCTGATGGACGTGTCCTAGTGCTGTCGCCGCCGTTGACGTCGCCGTTGACGTCGCCGTTGACGTCGGTCACAAATCTGTTCCGGAGATATATTTGCCGGATGTAGCGGACTTCATCCGGTGTCGTGACTCTTCGTCTTCCCGATCTCGGGAGGTCTTTGGTCTGGCCTGTTTGCTGGTAGAGGTTTATTAATTTGCTGATGGTGGCCTGGTTGCAGTTGAAGGTTCTTGCCAGCTGACTTGGTGAAACCCCCCATATTGGCCATACCGATCACCCTGTCTCGTTGTGCTTGCGTAAGTCTTGGCACATTCGTTCTGGTCTTTTGGGTTACAGCATGCTTTCTCTGTCCAACATGCAGAGATTTATACAACAATCATGCACGTGCGTTTGGACCAATGTCCCACAATTACGTTTTTCACGTTTTGAAAAATGCACGATTCGTACGAAGTTTTCGGACAGCTGCGTTGTGATCGGGACCAGGTTGCGCATTGGCGAATGTTTTCTGCTTGGGTTCAAACCCGTACCAGCGGTTTACTATTGATATAATTATTAGTAAAAGTTAAAAATCTTCTGTTTAATTTTGGTTTTGGATATGTTTGGTTGAGCCAAGATGTTGGTGATGTAAGGATGTTTATAAGCTTATTTAAACAAAGACTATCAGATAATTTAAAACAGTCCTGGTACTCTTCCCTGAGTAATTCTTCCAAATGTCAACTATTATCAGTATTTTAAATCAGCGTTAAATGTTGAATGTTATTTATCGTTTAACCTTTCAACACATTTAAGAGCTGTTTTAGCACAATTTAGGTGTAGTAATTTTAAAATAGCTGTAGAAACTGGGCGTTATAACAACACTGATTATAATCAAAGATTTTGTATATCATGCAAATCTAAAGGTCTTACCTATATTGAAGATGAATTCCATGTACTGTTCATTTGTGAGTCCTATTCACACCTAAGAGAGAGGTTTATTACAAAATGTGTTAAAAAAGCCTCATACTGTATATTCTTTAGCAAATCTTTTCAAGAATACTAATGTAGACACTGTAAAATCTGTTGCCTTGTATCTATTTTATGTTAAAAGGATTATTATAAACACACATGAATGCACATTGTGCCCCTGACTACACTGAAATTTCCTTTGAATGTATTTTGGGCCTATGGCCTTTTACTGCAAATAAACTCTGTCTGTCTGTCTGTCTGTCTAATTATTAGTACTAAGCTTCTTTTGCCCGGTAGTTTATACAACATGTAAATCATTATTAGGTCAATTTTCTTATTAAGGCGTTTTCTTATCTGAACTTTTGTCCCAGTTAACTTTTAGTCTTCCACGCAAGTTTTCGAGAAAGAAAATTAGATAAAGACTCGACCTCCACCTGTTAATCTCTAGTTTGACGAAGCATATTGTGGTCTCGAGAAATTCTTCCTGTACAAATGTATCGTCTTGTAATTCTGTTTTTTGTTGGCTTTGTCCGAGGACAGGTATCTACTGCTGGCCGTAAGTATTGGAGCAATCACCCTGAAAATTAGAGGGACAATGATGATAGTATATATAATTTACAACAAAGCATAGACACGCCAATGCCGCACAGACTAGTACATTCTTATATGTACATATTGTTGATCAAAACGTGTGTATTTGTAAGTATTAGTTAACGTAGTGATATTTATATTACTAAAGGATATCTATTTTTATTTTTTATTTTTATTATTATTTTTGTTTTGTACGATTTTATCAGCTGACTTTACACGTTACCTAAGTTTCGTTAAATGAGATTTTAAAAGTTTTTATGATGAAGAGGAACAAATGGATAAGTGGATAAGTGTTTCACCGTACCCATATTTGATAAAGGTATGTACCTTTTTCTTAGGGTTCTTTCGTCAAATTTAAAGTAATTGTGATTTATCTATTGTTCATGCTTCAGAAGACTTCGTTTAATATTTTAGCGTTTGTCGTAAGTTATTGAGAAACTCTGTCCTGCCAGCAGTAAATGGGTACCAGGTGGAATAAGTAAAGTAAACAACGAAAACGAAAGAAAGATGAACCCTTTGACGTAATCCAACGCAAACGAAATCTGGTTGATCCATTGTGACAGTGCCTTGGTATTGAAAATGTGACTCAATTCTGAGTCGTAATTTGTATTAACGAAACGATTTTGGACACGAGCGTTTGGTAAAAGATATACTTGTATGGTAGAATACGTTATTATATCTATGGCACCAGTGTCAAATATTCGTTGGTCATGACTATTGTTGTGTCAGGCAACCCGTGCTACAAATAGACCACACATACGTACACCCTTTTCGCGAACACCTGGTGGCATTACTCATATATAGTGATCCGCTTTTAAAATGTTAAGCACAGGGGAATCTGATTAGAATCCGCCAATACTCGAGATGGTAATAATCAGCTATCCTCTGATATGTCATATTTACAAGTTCCAAACTGTGAAATTAATTTGTCGCAAGCAGTGCTGATTGCATACTCCTCGCTGTTTTACGCCCTTTTTAGCAATATTCTAGAAATATCACGGCGGGGGACACCAGAACTGGGATTGACACATTGTACCCATGTGGGGAATCGAACCCGGTTCTTCTGTGTGAAACGCTTTACCAAGTAGGCTACCCAGCGCCCCTACTCTCAGTTGACTTGGTTCATACATGTCATTGTATCCCAAGTGGTGTTTGCGACTTGAAATGGGTGTTCATTTCAAGAACACGTCATCAATAATTGTCAGTGATCCATTCATTGTATTTTCACCACTCAAATGTTGGCCTTTTGCATCATTATAATATGTTTCCTTAGATATTCGAAACTGGCTTTTCTATGACGTTGATGTCTTCAGCCCATGGGTTTGCAGTGAATGCTTCTTCCCGAATTGACCTCGGCGTAAAACTAAACTCACTCACTCACTCTTCCTGAATTGACTTGGTTCTGTTTGTTGTATCTAGCCTGTGGGGACAAAATCGCCAACTGCGCAACGTATGGCCAGGCCTCCTGTACTACGTACCCTGATTGGGCCAAGGAGAACTGCAACAGCTACTGCAAGTTCTGTAAAGGTAGACTTCATTTACACATCCCAGTCTCGTAACATGCTCGTCAGACTCCACGAGAGTCTAATATGGAACAAGTTCTTATGGATAACAACTTCTTTATTTCGTGAGTGCGACGTTTCGATACAGATTCTTGTACCGTTGTCAAGCAAGAGTGATACATGAAGTGGTTTCCTGTTAGGAAAGGCTCCTGGGTGCTGTTGTACAAAGCAACCTTAGCGCTATGGTTGTCATAAGTCAGTGTTATTGTATGAGAGGTACGGTCGCCTTAGTACTAAGATCGCTTTGAACAACAGCACCTTGTACCTTATCCATCGTGTAGTGGTAAGAGCGTCCGACCGGAGTGCGGAAGGTCGCGGGGTCGACCCCCGACCGCGTCATACCAAAAGACGTTAAAATATGGTACTTGTTGGTCCCTGCCTGGCGCTCGGCATTAATGGGTACAACAAGGACTGGTCGGGTCGGAGTATAATGTGTCTGAGTGGGGTATTCATGCTTCACTGCGGCATGGTATCTCAGTGGGCTAGCACTATAAAACCAGCTTAAGTCTGTGCTAGTACATCAGCCGCGTATACACATACACACGCATGCACGTCGTCATATGAGCGAAATATTCTCAAGCACGACGTTAAACCCAATTCCACCACCACCACCTTATCCATCGGTTATACTGCAGGGACTAAGTCGATCACTCCCGACAACACCATTTACTTTGGATTACGTATTGCTTATACTTAATGGTTTGCCTGGTCCAGATTCGACTTTTACATGCATACTAGTACTGACTGCGGCGTAAAACAAAAGTCACTCTCACTCAACTAAAGAAGCATATGCTTGTGATTAACTTATGAGTAGGGTTTAGTAAGAACATCATTTACACATTGTCATAATTAGTCTAATCGCGGACATTTAAGAAACTATCTTATCACAAAAAATGTTATATACATGTATAGTGTCGAATAGATACGCGCTTATGAGAGGTGCAGTTTGTTTTATTGCTTGTGCTGGAAAACGACACCATTTTTAAAATATGTTATTAATACATATCCGGTCTATTATGGGGAATGTTGTATTCAAGAAATCTGGCCAGCTGAATATCGTACACTACCGGGCAAAGGAAAGTATACATTCATATTTCAAGGTGGAAAAGGTTGGAAAAGAACAAGTAAGAAAGAGTTATTCGATAGTTTTGTTTTTCATACGGGTTTCATAAATACATTTTGGACTAGGTTTCAGTATTTAGGGTATTGTTTTCAGGGAAGCGACGTTGTGAGAACTTAGGTGATATTTGGATCCAATCCAAGTGTTTATTTTCTTTTGCCTGTTAGTATACATGACGCCATACACTGACAAAGACGGTGTATGTACAGATATTTATGCAAACATATGTTTACATTAGGTATAGGTGAGATAATCCGACAATACTTTTTACCTGAACTTTCATTGCGGCAGTTTTCATAATATCTAATAATTATGTGGTTGGTTGGTTTGTTGTTTAACGTCGCACTTAGCAATATGGCACCTGTCTTGAAATAATCGAGTCTGGACTAGACAATCCAATGATCAACAGCACTTAATTCTATGGAGTACGTCTAACGTGCTATAACAACTGTAATGTAAAATACTTTAATTTCATTGGTCAATGACGCTTTAACAAGTGTCCGTGTCACCCCTCCCAGGAGGGTGACAACTGGAAACAATATTACCCGCTGCCAAGGTAACCGCCGAACTCTCCGCCAAGAAACTGTATCCCTAACAATCGTATGACGTCATAATATGAATGCAGTGCACGGAGCTCGAAAACCGTTCGATTAGTTGTTTTTGTGTTCACTATGTACACAATTATTTTACCGACTTTCACTGCTTTGTTTATACTATTTTATACATTGAATCGTTTGCACATTCAACTGAAACATAATTAGCCATTTTTATAGCAGAATAAGCTTGTCAGAATATGTTTCACTGATTTAAAAATCCTGTCGAGAAACAGACGCCATTTTGTTTATATGTCATATAGTCGGTGGCGATCTTTAAAATAAAATAAAATAAGATAATATTTTGTACATTTAACATGGTGATGTGATAAATCCGCTGTATGCTCCTCCCTCGGGTAATACGGTCTGATGTGCGTCTTTTGTAGCAGTGTCATCCCTCGCCTACCGGCTCGGGTGGCACTGCTACAAAGGTACATCAGACCGTATTACCCTCTAGAGATACATACAACTTATATTATCATCCAAAACTGTGTTCCTCGGAGATCACAATGCTTTGACATAATCAATTACTTGACTCACAATCCTATGACGTAAAAAACCCTGATGACATCACAGTGCCATGACGTCATAAACTTGATGACGTCACAATGCTATAACATCACTCTAATGCACGTAGATTTCATTTTTCATGAAGAGTGATTTTTGATGATAAATAGAATCTCACCCTCTTGTCTTCTGATATCAAATATATCAACACTCGTTGATAAAAGTAAAATATCCTCTGCAAGCCTCGGATATTTCTAACTTTATCAACTTGTGTTGATGTAACTGATATCACAAGACACTTGTGTGAGATTCTATATTTATATGAAGAGGCTCTTGAATGTCCATTTTGCCCCAGCTAATCTGCCCTGTGAAGACGTGGACGCCAACTGCGGCAGCTACGACACTGCCACCTGCAACAACCCCCAGTTCAGCCACTGGGCCGAGACTCAGTGTCGTTACTACTGTCGACGTTGTTCAGGTGAGAACCAAATAACCCCGATAACTCGATGACATGTCAACACGTTAAACGTCGAGTTATCCGTATTTCGAGAAAAGCAGAGTACTCATTTTGGACATAGGGCGATGAGGTTCTCCCCGTTCAATGTAGTTGTTTTGACATAAAAAGAAGCATATCGAAATACTAATCGCAAGTGACAATGTCAAACTGACTGAAATGATATTTTATGAGTCTTGATATATGTTTATTATACTGTCAGTCCGATTAAAATGATATTATGTGAGTTTTGTGATATGTTTATTACAATGTCAAACGAATTGAAATTATATTTATGAGTCTAATGATATGTTTATTATAATGTCAAACAGATTGAAATAATTTTTGTGAGCCTTGTGATAATTACGTTTATTCCTGTCATAAATCATTTCGCGAGCGCAATGTTTCTTTTAGCAGCTGTTAAACATAATGGATGTTTACAGCGTATTTTCTCTTTGTATTGGAAATCGCGTGTGAATGAAATGTTTGAGTGATTCATTATAAAGTGCCAAATAACAGCTATGATTGTCAGCAGAAAATAGTGACACTTTGGGAGAATAAACAACAACATTCAAATATACTGACAACGGTAGTCAACAACATTTTTAGATGGAATGCATTGTATACTAGTATATGGAACTTGAAAGTAGGTCCTCATTTGCATATTTATCGAATCCTGGTACCGAGTTGACTGGATGTTGTTTTCCAGCTGCGGCTCTAGCTGCCAAGGATGCCTTGCAAACAACACTCCCTCCATCATGTAAGTTTTATTTGTCGTATAAACTTTCATAGCAGGACTACTTCTTGTATGTAGGTCCTCTGGAAGTCATTTGTAATGATCTTATTTCTGTTCCATCGATATTTTTCTCTATTTCTTTCACTAATTGCAAAAATGCAGTTTCGTCGCGCCTATCATTGAAACGCGATGAAATGTTATTAGTCCAAAGAAATGAGAGCGTAACGTTTCAACAAGAATGAAGAAAAATGTAGCAGACTTGATAAGAAGTGAATGCTTGCGGAATGTGCAGATCGTGATAGATTTACCCATCATCTTGATGGTGGCCACTTGTCTTAGTTCCGCCTGTCTTTGTCCGCTTGCACAAAACGATCTTAGCTCTAAGACGTTCGTAACTCTCATGGTGCACCATCGGCGTACTATAGTCATACAGTTCAGATCTCTTTGCGGAAGTGTATTCGTAAGTATTAGGTGACGTCATAGGCTTGTCAACTGTGGCCAAGGCTCACGCTATTGACCTTTGGATTTTTATTCTGGTTCGACTATGTTCTCAGTTCCTTTAGCAACGGGATACAATATTAGAGCATTGAGTTTAAGGAGAACCTACTTGCAAACTCGGATATCACGAATGTAGAGGTAAATACTCGTATTTTCGGATAACAGGAATGTAGAAACCATTACTTAAGGGTTACCAAACCATTGTACACTACATACAACGTCTCAACAGTATTCTTAATTACGATTTCCGAGGAGTGTGTTTGTTTTATCCGGACTTTATTTCAGTGTGCAAGGACAAGATAGACTGTCAGGCTTACAAGCAGGATTCATGTACCCAATATCCTGGATGGGCAAAGGAAAACTGCATGGCGTTCTGTGGAATCTGCAAAGGTGGGACCTTAGTATTTTACTCGAATGACCAACTACAAAATGACCAGACGAATGTACTCTTTCTGTTTTCTTAACATCTGTCACCGGACTAATATTACCGCTTCCCTACAAATACATAAACGATACATGTCAAAATATGCGGGATGTGTGCGTGCCTGCGTGTATGCGTTTGTGCGTCCGTGTGTACATCACTCAAATTAAGGCCCATCGGATTCTTTCCTAGAATATGCAGTGTGTCACCTGAGTCATACCAGTTACATGAAAACTTCCTTTCCTTTGAGCAGTATTTCGTCGGAAAGGAACAGTTACCCTAAAGCGAAACCTTCGGCCCCTAAGAAAACAAATGGAGGCCGTGGGGTAGCCTAGTGGTTAAAGCCCATTCCTGGTGTCACCCGCAGTGATATTGCTGGAATATTGCTAAAAGCGGCGTAAAACCCAACTCACTCACTCACTTGATGCCTGAATATCATGTCGATGTCACATTTACGCCTTAATAATTGTAGTTTCGAGACAAAATCCACGCTGTACTTTAGTTTCGAGGAACTGGATTGGAAAGGAACTTTGTCTAATGATTTGTTTTTCCTGTCTTTTTACATAATTATGTTCTTTGCTTTAGCCATTGTTTGAATTTCTGAACACCGACTGAATAACCGCTGCTCTTCGGTTATAGCTCAATAACGATCAAAGTTTTGCGGATATCAGGAACAAATTAATATTTAATGTTGTATTTTAAAATAAAGCTAGGGTTTGGGTTGATTTTTAAAGGTTTTCTTGGACCAGCCCGCTCTATCAGAAGCTGTGCATTGGGATTCGATCAATAGAAAAGAAAGCAAAAATAGCGAAAGTAGAAATATAGTAACTGTGGTATCTGTCAGCGAGTGAGTGAGTATTGTTTTACGCCGCTTTTTAGCAATACTCCAGCAATATCACGGCGGGGGACACCAGAAATGAGCTTCACACATTGTACCCATGTGGGTATCTGTCAGCCAATGTTAATGAGGTCTAACAGACCTGGAGAGCTAAGGACTTTCTTGCTACTACTTTCTATAAATTTTACTCGTTCTCATTGTTTATATGTTCTGTATTTTCTAGGTATAAAAGGGGCGGTGTGGTAGCCAAGTGGTTAAAGCGTCCGCCCGTCACACAGAAGACCTGTGATCGATTCCCTGAGTAGGAACATTGTGTGAAGCCCATTTCCGGTGCCCCTCGCCGTGATGTTGCTGGAATATTATATTTCTAAAAGCGGCGTAAAACCATATTCACTCACTCTTCGGCGAAAATCCTCAAACTGTTCACATGCATTTTCATGATTGTAAATCAGCCATTTTCATGGCGTGTTTCAGGCGCCCCAACACCTCCACCAGTGTGTGCTGACACAAATCCCGGATGTGCAGGCTACGACAAGGCGACCACCTGCAAGGACCCCAAGTTCACCCTGTGGATTCGGGCCAACTGCGCAAAATACTGCGGTCTTTGCAGCGGTAGCGTTCATTAATATTTTCAGTTATACATTTTTATAAACAGAAATTACGGAAACATACTACCGGCTCGGGTGGCACTGCTACAAAGAGGGGTACATCAGACCGTATTACCCTCTAGAGATACATACAACTTATATTATCATCCAAAACTGTGTTCCTCGGAGATCACAATGCTTTGACATAATCAATTACTTGACTCACAATCCTATGACGTAAAAAACCCTGATGACATCACAGTGCCATGACGTCATAAACTTGATGACGTCACAATGCTATAACATCACTCTACTGCACGTAGATTTCATTTTTCATGAAGAGTGATTTTTGATGATAAATAAAATCTCACCCTCTTGTCTTCTGATATCAAATATATCAACACTCGTTGATAAAAGTAAAATATCCTCTGCAAGCCTCGGATATTTCTAACTTTATCAACTTGTGACTGATATCAGAAGACACTTGTGTGAGATTCTATATTTATATGAAGAGGCTCTTGAATGTCCATTTTGCCCCAGCTAATCTGCCCTGTGAAGACGTGGACGCCAACTGCGGCAGCTACGACACTGCCACCTGCAACAACCCCCAGTTCAGCCACTGGGCCGAGACTCAGTGTCGTTACTACTGTCGACGTTGTTCAGGTGAGAACCAAATAACCCCGATAACTCGATGACATGTCAACACGTTAAACGTCGAGTTATCCGTATTTCGAGAAAAGCAGAGTACTCATTTTGGACATAGGGCGATGAGGTTCTCCCCGTTCAATGTAGTTGTTTTGACATAAAAAGAAGCATATCGAAATACTAATCGCAAGTGACAATGTCAAACTGACTGAAATGATATTTTATGAGTCTTGATATATGTTTATTATACTGTCAGTCCGATTAAAATGATATTATGTGAGTTTTGTGATATGTTTATTACAATGTCAAACGAATTGAAATTATATTTATGAGTCTAATGATATGTTTATTATAATGTCAAACAGATTGAAATAATTTTTGTGAGCCTTGTGATAATTACGTTTATTCCTGTCATAAATCATTTCGCGAGCGCAATGTTTCTTTTAGCAGCTGTTAAACATAATGGATGTTTACAGCGTATTTTCTCTTTGTATTGGAAATCGCGTGTGAATGAAATGTTTGAGTGATATGCCCAATTCATTATAAAGTGCCAAATAACAGCTATGATTGTCAGGAGAAAATAGTGACACTTTGGGAGAATAAACAACAACATTCAAATATACTGACAACGGTAGTCAACAACATTTTTAGATGGAATGCATTGTATACTAGTATATGGAACTTGAAAGTAGGTCCTCATTTGCATATTTATCGAATCCTGGTACCGAGTTGACTGGATGTTGTTTTCCAGCTGCGGCTCTAGCTGCCAAGGATGCCTTGCAAACAACACTCCCTCCATCATGTAAGTTTTATTTGTCGTATAAACTTTCATAGCAGGACTACTTCTTGTATGTAGGTCCTCTGGAAGTCATTTGTAATGATCTTATTTCTGTTCCATCGATATTTTTCTCTATTTCTTTCACTAATTGCAAAAATGCAGTTTCGTCGCGCCTATCATTGAAACGCGATGAAATGTAATTAGTCCAAAGAAATGAGAGCGTAACGTTTCAACAAGAATGAAGAAAAATGTAGCAGACTTGATCAGAAGTGAATGCTTGCGGAATGTGCAGATCGTGATAGATTTACCCATCATCTTGATGGTGGCCACTTGTCGTACTTCCTCCGGTCTTTGTCCGCTTGCACAAAACGATCTTAGCTCTAAGACGTTCGTAACTCTCATGGTGCACCATTGGCGTACTATAGTCATACAGTTCAGATCTCTTTGCGCAAGTGGATTCGTAAGTATTAGGTGACGTCATAGGCTTGTCAACTGTGGCCCGTGCTCACGCTATTGACCTTTGGATTTTTATTCTGGTTCGACTATGTTCTCAGTTCCTTTAGCAACGGGATACAATATTAGAGCATTGAATTTAAGGAGAACCTACTTGCAAACTCGGATATCACGAATGTAGAGGTAAATACTCGTAATTTCGGATAACAGGAATGTAGAAACCATTACTTAAGGGTTACCAAACCATTGTACACTACATACAACGTCTCAACAGTATTCTTAATTAAGATTTCCGAGGAGTGTGTTTGTTTTATCCGGACTTTATTTCAGTGTGCAAGGACAAGATAGACTGTCAGGCTTACAAGCAGGATTCATGTACCCAATATCCTGGATGGGCAAAGGAAAACTGCATGGCGTTCTGTGGAATCTGCAAAGGTGGGACCTTAGTATTTTACTCGAATGACCAACTACAAAATGACCAGACGAATGTACTCTTTCCGTTTTCTTAACATCTGTCACCGGACTAATATTACCGCTTCCCTACAAATACATAAACGATACATGTCAAAATATGCGGGATGTGTGCGTGCCTGCGTGTATGCGTTTGTGCGTCCGTGTGTACATCACTCAAATTAAGGCCCATCGGATTCTGTCCTAGAATATGCAGTGTGTCACCTGAGTCATACCAGTTACATGAAAACTTCCTTTCCTTTGAGCAGTATTTCGTCGGAAAGGAACAGTTACCCTAAAGCGAAACCTTCGGCCCCTAAGAAAACAAATGGAGGCCGTGGGGTAGCCTAGTAGTGACAGCCCATTCCTGGTGTCCCCCGCAGTGATATTGCTGGAATATTGCTAAAAGCGGCGTAAAACCCAACTCACTCACTCACTTGATGCCTGAATATCATGTCGATGTCACATTTACGCCTTAATAATTGTAGTTTCGCGACAAAATCCACGCTGTACTTTAGTTTCGAGGAACTGGATTGGAAAGGAACTTTGTCTAATGATTTGATTTTCCTGTCTTTTTACATAATTATGTTCTTTGCTTTAGCCATTGTTTGAATTTCTGAACACCGACTGAATAACCGCTGCTCTTCGGTTATAGCTCAATAACGATCAAAGTTTTGCGGATATCAGGAACAAATTAATATTTAATGTTGTATTTTAAAATAAACCTAGGGTTTGGGTTGATTTTAAAGGTTTTCTTGGACCAGCCCGCTCTATCAGAAGCTGTGCATTGGGATTCGATCAATAGAAAAGAAAGCAAAAATAGCGAAAGTAGAAATATAGTAACTGTGGTATCTGTCAGCGAGTGAGTGAGTATTGTTTTACGCCGCTTTTTAGCAATACTCCAGCAATATCACGGCGGGGACACCAGAAATGAGCTTCACACATTGTACCCATGTGGGTATCTGTCAGCCAATGTTAATGAGGTCTAACAGACCTGGAGAGCTAAGGACTTTCTTGCTACTACTTTCTATAAATTTTACTCGTTCTCATTGTTTATATGTTCTGTATTTTCTAGGGTATAAAAGGGACGGTGTGGTAGCCAAGTGGTTAAAGCGGGATCGATTCCCTGTGTAGGAACAATGTGTGAAGCCCATTTCCGGTGCCCCTCGCCATGATGTTGCTGGAATATTATATTTCTAAAAGCGGCGTAAAACCATATTCACTCACTCTTCGGCGAAAATCCTCAAACTGTTCACATGCATTTTCATGATTGTAAATCAGCCATTTTCATGGCGTGTTTCAGGCGCCCCAACACCTCCACCAGTGTGTGCTGACACAAATCCCGGATGTGCAGGCTACGACAAGGCGACCACCTGCAAGGACCCCAAGTTCACCCTGTGGATTCGGGCCAACTGCGCAAAATACTGCGGTCTTTGCAGCGGTAGCGTTCATTAATATTTTCAGTTATACTTTTTATAAACAGAAATTACGGAAACATAGAATGTAAACTGAAAAAGCGAAAGTACTAAAAGTATTATAATATTTACATTTTCTAAATTCGATCGGGTGGTCAGGCTCGCTGAATTGGTTGACACATGCTATCGTATCCCAATATTTCAGATCAACGCAAGTTGAACAATGGATTGTCTGGTCCAGATTCGATTATTTACAGACAGACGCTTCATACGTGGAATATTGTTGAGTGCGGCGTTAAACAATAAACAATTAATTAAAAACAATAAAGACCTGTAGACAATCCTGTTTGGATCAGACAAACCGATGATTCTTGTTATGGAGAGCGAACTAGACTACCCGATCCATTACTTCATACCGATCATACTCATTACTTACACAAGGTTTTATGGACACATTGAAAGTTTTCAGAAAACATTTGACTATTCCATCATTATGATTCTGAATTCAGATGGAAGCGCGACTTCAGGCCCAGGGCCTATCGGGCCAGCTAGTCCGGGCCCCCTGACCCCCGCTGGTCCCGTGGGGTACTCCCCAGCACCCCTAGGGAAGTAGTGCAACATTCTTTCAAAACTATGGATGAACGATTTTGTTGTATGGAGGGATATCGAGGTGATTAAAGTCTTAGATCCTCTGATTTGTTCATTTGTATTACGCTGTCCGGGTTGTGTTCTGTATTTCCCACCCACGAAAGGTTTCATTCAGACGTGAAATATGTATTAAGTTTTTTATCTCAGTTTTCAACGTCGGAAATTAATTTTCTAATGTGCCCAAAAAATACTCTTGCCTTTGCACATTAGTGAAAACAAGGTCGCCATGGCCTTTCTTCGTCTATGTTTATCAAGAAATTGTTTCCTCGGTAAAGCGACTCACAAACTGACCAATAAAAATACTCTTGCCTTTGCACATTAGTGAAAACATTATTACTATATTACACAATATATTAGCGCAAAATAGTTTTATCTTTCGCTCATCCGCTCTCCAGGTCGGTGAGGATGGAGATGAAAAATGATTATGGATGGCATACGGATGTCATTATCTTGAGTGTGGAACATTGGGAAAGGAGAGATCCAAAGGACATTCGTTCCATGAGTGCCATGTATAGGATTACATCAGATTATGCACTCTACCATTACACGTCAGTACAGCTCATGCTGCATGAGATTAACACTTAGTCTTTGAAATACCAGGTGCAATGGGGAAGCCAAGTGGTTAAAGCGTCCGCTCGTCACGCTGAAGACCCGGGTTTGATTCCCATTGTCTGCTGTCCCCCGTCGTGATATTGCTGGAATTTTGCTAAAAGCGGCGTAAAAACATACTAACTCACTCACTGAAAATACCAAATTTGACACATACAAATAACTTCATTTATGATGAAAACGAACACCATAGAATACCAGTGAGATTGGAGATCTTCGAATTTGTGCAAAAGGTAGACTTACTGTATACAGGACTTAACATTTCAGAAAGGATTGGACAGAAGGGAAATATGGCTGCAGGTACAACGATAAATACACACACACCTGTATGTGAAAATATATTTAAATTTACTATGGTTTTACTTCTCTTCATATCATCTTGGTCAAACAGCTTTGGAAGTGGGGCTGAATTATAGAATCTGGTGACAAACATGCAGATTCCCACACCGTCTGCTATCTTGAACTTATCAACACACATTTAACTCAAGATTTTACTTTACTGTTACACGGGCCACCCACGCAGTAGTCTTATCTTGAAGGTTACACTTCCAGGACAGTAAACACCTGTCGGGAGAAACGGTTTACTGGTCTGGAAACTAAAAGATGTTTCAGAGCCAGTTCCACAAAGCGATCTTAGCACTAACCCTTTCACACAGCCTTACTCTTTAACACAGCCTTACCCTTTAACACAAGCTTACCCTTTAACACAGGTTTACCCTTTCACACAGACTTACCCTTTCACACAAGCTTACCCTTTCACACACGCTTACCCTTTCACACAGGCTTACCCTTTCACACAGGCTTACCCTTTCACACAAGCTTACCCTTTCACACATGCTTACCCTTCAACACAGCCTTACTCTTTCACACAGGCTTACCCTTTAACATAGGTTTACCCTTTAACACAGGTTTACCCTTTAACACAGGCTTACCCTTTCACACAGGCTTACCCTTTAACACAGGTTTGCCTCACACAAGCACCCTTTAACGGGCTTACCCTTTCACACAGCCCTTAGCTTACCCTTTAACACAGGCTTACCCTTTAACACAAGCTTACCCTTTAACACAGGCTTACCCTTTAACACAGGCTTACCCTTTAACACAAGCTTACCCTTTAACACTGGCTTACCCTTTAACACAGGCTCAACATATTAGTAAAGCTAAGGTCACTTTGTGGAACTGGCGCCTGGTGTACGCAACACGTTACAGTTTAAGATATTTCATATGACGTCACTTGCTTGTGGGACATATATAATCTGAAATGGAAGGAGACTAAACACCTGGTGATTAGGATTGTTTTCCAAACACCAACGACGCGCAATTGTTTTGAAAAGTATTTTGATTGTGACGTTCAAGTATTATGTAGGTGTTGCCATACACCACAGTGAGTGAGTGATTCAGTTTAGGTTTACGCCGCTTTTAGCAACATTCAAGCGATATCAGGGTGGGGAACACTAGGAATGGGCTTCACACTTTGTGCCCATGTGGGGAATCGAACCCGGGTCTTCGGCACGACGAGCGAGCGTTTTAACCACAAGGCTACCCCACCGCCCCCATACACCACAGATATCGTACCCAAATGCAACGTTGCTAGTACACCACGTTCCTAGCCCAACGTAGACGATTCGACATGCGATCCATGGGCCAGGATACTCACAGCGAACATTCGTTTCATAACTGTGATTTTTTAGGGTCGGTTAAAGCGTTCTCTCGTCACGCCGAAGACCCGGGTCCAATTCCCCAGATGAGTACAATGTGTGAAGCCCATTTCTCGTATCGTGATATTGCTGGAATATTGCTAAAAGCGGCGTAAAAACATATTCACTCGCTCACTCATCACTCACTCTGTTCCTGCTAATGCGGTAACCCAACCCATTCCTGGGTCTGATGACGCACATCCGAACGTTCTGGCAATATGGCTGTCTGAAGCCCATTTCTACGACATTCCACATACTCGTTCTCGTTCCGCTACTGTTACTGTTAACACCACCTGTGTACTTTCTTTTGTACACCAGTTTAGTTGAGGAACCTTGTGTATGCAAAGCGTGTGAAATGCTGCAATGCCTGTGTAAGCAGGAATGTGACGTACTGCACGTAATACATTGGTTTTTGAAACAATATATTTCCTGAAAACCATGCGTCTACTTTCTTTTGTATATCAGTTTAGATATTCACTGATGATGTGGTTCGACATTTGATTGCGACGGGACATATGCATTTGTATTCAGATGTGGATCAACGCACTTGCCTCAAGGACATAGAAACATACGTGGCCAAGGGGCGTGGTAGGCGAGCTGGCTAAGGCGCCAGGCTGAGGTGCCGGGATCGAGCCCACCTGTGATCGGGTGTAAAAACCTTGGAGTCAACTATTTGTGTAGACTCTTTCCGTGTTGTCACAACTCCTAGTGTACAGTACACAACCTTGTGCACTTTAAAGAACCCACGATATCTTTATGACCAGATGTTGGCCACATGAATACGTGCAAACACCTAGTTGCGGGTACAGCAACGTGCAGTGAACTTGGACAAAGTACTGTGACTATATGTCCAAGTCCACCCAGCTGTGAATGGGTACCTCGTCAGGATGAGAAAGCCACAATAACTCGGTGCGCCTAGTGGCAGCAAGAGTTGTATACTCCCCAGGGAGTTGAGATTGATAATACGATGTGCCGTTGAGATTGACATCCAATGATCGAGCGCTATATAAATATCCTATATTGATAATAATAAATGCCCAGCCCCCGCAGGCGGAGGCCTGTATACATGTATGTCTAAACACTCGTCAACATATGTCTGATAGTTGAAAGTGGGTCAGGCAAGGACTCGAGATGTGGCACCTTCTTTTCGTGAGTGCCCTATTTACATGCATAACAGCAGAAAGTAAGTGTACTTATTTATGAATTGCAGTTCTCAATGCTTGATAAAATGAATATGTTTTATGGAGTTGAGACAGTGTCAATCGTATTTATATAAAGGCAGTAAACTCAATATTTTATACGGATTTAACTCAGTAGCATCGACGTAAATTAATTGAAGGCATTTCCATACGCATAATATACCTCCATTGTGCAATTCCGAATGTATCATGTGTTTATGAATTACGATCAAATAGTGATGACACCAGGTGTTCGAGAAAAGTTAGCACCCTACACAAACAGATAAACGCAAGTCAGTCGTTCACTTGAAAAGCACAGAGTGAGTGAGTGGTTTTAAGCCGCTTTTAACAATATTCCAGTAATATCACGGAACGGGGACACCAGAAATGGGCTTCATACAATTTACCATGTGGGGAATCGAACCCGGGTCTTCGGCGTGACGAGCAGTCGCTTTAACCACTAGGCTACCCCACCGCCCCCCGAAAAGCACAGAAACATATCTTACAATTCAACATAATGAACTGCATCGGACATGGGTTTGATTACGGATGATCTCAGCTGATCGTAAGGAGTAAACTACATTTCGTAATTGAATATCTTATCTCACTGACTTGTTCGTGAGGACCCAACTAGAACCAGGTGCCTATCAAGAAAACGTTAGTAACGTTACGACCGTTCGTACAACTACACTTTATCATTGGCTTACGAATGACATCTGATATATTTTTAGATATCGAATTACATTAAATTTCAGAGGCATTACACGAGAATGTACACATTTTAGAATTGAATTTAACATTACAAACGTTATTAAAATGTATCATGGTGGAAAACACTGACCAAAAAGTCGAAAATTAGAGCACACCTATCAGTTACATCACCACAGGACCCGTGAAGATCCGGGTTAGGAATTGGTCCTCAGTAACCCATGCTTGTCGTAAGAGGCGACTAACGGGATCGGGTCGTCAGGCTCGCTGACTTGGTTGACACATGCCTCGTATCCCAATTGCGTAGATCGACGCTCATGCTGTTGATCCCTGGATTGTCTGGTTCAGACTCGATTATTTACAGACCGCCTCAATATAGCTGGAATATTGCTGATTGCAGCGTAAAACTAAACTCACTCACTCACTACATCACCACAGAATAGCCATTCCTTGTTTCAGTACTAGCCACTAGTAAAACATGGGTGTAAACTTATGGGCTGAAAGTTTATATTTATGAAAGCGGAATTCCTTCACGAAGGTTTGGTTTATTTCAGCATGTGTGGACAAAGCGGATTGTTCAGGGTATGGCCCAGGGGTCTGTCAGGGTGGATTTCAAGCGTGGGCTATGGTGAACTGCAGACAGACATGCAAATTCTGTCAAAGTAAGCTTTTTTAAAATTTAAATCATTTATTTCTCATTTTCATGTATAACAAAATATAGATATACAGTAACATGTATACAAATACATAATGGCGTTAGTGGAGCATGGTAGCATGACATATTTTAAGTGAAGTTGTTTTGATTATGATGTACAAATAGCACTAGATACATACAACATGCATGGTAGTGTTTGTTTTAAACATATTCTATTCACTGAGAAAAGGATTAAGAACAACTTCTCCTTGGTATGTACATAGGTAATTTAGATTTCCGCAAATAAAGATGACAGATAGTGGACAAGAAAGTAGAATAAGTAAAAAGAGACAAAGATTATACAGAATAATATCAATATGCTATACAAATCGTTTTGTCTGACTAATGAACGATTGCACTAACTTGAATACTTTTGCATTTTCTAACAAAAGTTTAAGGTCGACTGAAATACCTGCTGATGAACAAATGCGCTTAACTGATAACATGAAGTTAACTCTTTGTTGTTTGTACAATGGACATTCAAACAGATGATGATACGAGTTCTCAATAAAATTACCACATATACAAATAGGATCAGTTTTCATTCCAACTCTGTACAAATCAAAGTTCAAACAACTAACTGAATAACGCAACTTGGTATGAATAATATTTAATTTTCTTTTACCACACGAATAATACTGAGGTGCATATGCATGGTTATCGGTTATACATGATTTAAAAGTTGAAACACTTTTTGAATTACGAACGGTGGTTGGTAAATTGTTCCAAGAGCATATCGTAGATGGAAAGAAGGATTCTTTTGAATGTTTAAGTCTTGGAATAGGAATCGATATATTTAGAGAACTGCGTAGATTATACTTTGATTTAGAACTAACATTCAAGGGAAGCAGTTCTTTTGGGTATGGAGGAGCCATTTCATTTTGAATTTTATACATCAAACATAGTTTTCGTTTTCTACGACGATCTTCTAATGTTTCCCATCCAGTCTCAAAATGAAGAAATTCACGTGATGTATATTTTGGTAAACCAGTTACTATTTTCGCTGCTTGTAATTGAATCTGTTCTAACTTATTCATTTGTCTAAGTTTAATCCATAAAAATATCTTGGACATCAATGTACAACTTCTAAATGCACTGAAAGACATTTTTGCATCATATTTTGAATATGGCCAGCCCATTTTCCATTGTTGGTAAGGTTAACTCCAAGATGTTTATGATTATCAACAATTTTGATTTCAACACCATCAAAGTAAAGATGTGGTATATTGATATCATTTTTCATCGAGAATAGGACAGCTACCGTCTTTTCTGGGTTGTATTTAATTAGCCATCTTTTACCCCAAATATTTAACTTACATAAATAAGCATTTAAATACATTTTAATAATCCTATTATCTGGTGAAGAGTAAACCAAAGACGAGTCATCAGCAAATAGGCGCGTTAAGCAATCTAATTCATCTGCTATATCATTAATGTATACAATGAATAAAAAAGGGCCAAGCACTGACCCCTGTGGGACACCAGCGCTTAGAGTCCTTAGCTAGGAAAGTGACCTATTGACAAATACACTCTGACTGCGATTACTTATATAACTAGCTAACCATCCCAACAGCTGTCCGCTTACACCATAGTTTTCAAGTTTCAACAGTAATCCTCTGTGCCAGACACGATCAAACGCTTTTGATATATCGCAAAATACCATACAAAAAAATTCTTTTTTTGTCCAATGATTCACAAACCCGATGGTATATTTCAATTAATTGATGTACAGTGGAATGTTCTGGCTGAAAACTTATACTGACACTGATATTTATACTGGAGCTTGTTAGCATGAACATAATTAAACAGGTCTTTGAAAACAACTCTTTCAAATACTTTACCAACACAACTTTTAAGGGATATTGGTCTATAGTTGGAAGCTAAAGTTGGATCACCTTTCTTGAAGAGAGGCATGACATTGACAACTTTCCACTCAGATGGATACACACATTTTTGCAAAGTCATATTGAACAACAAACATAAAACGTTACTTATTGAGTATACAATGTGTTTCAACAGTTGATGACATATTCTGTCACGACCGGACGCCTTTTCACGTGTAAACATTTAATTACATTTTCAATTTCAAATTTGGATATAGATAGGGTGTCAAAAATTGGGCCGTTCGTTTATTGAAATATGGTAGACATACATTTTTTCATCCACTGATGAAATAGATTGGAAATACTCATTCAGTCTTTCAGCTTTTTCACAGTCAGAGAAACAAGATGGACTTTCATGATCATCATCAGATTTAAGAGGGGTATGCAGGTATTCGCGACAGACTGTTTAAACAGATAACGTAGTAGCTTCCAATATGAACTTTTGCTTTCAGCATATGAATCTAGGAGAAAATTGTCTACATTAGCAAAATGGTTTTGGTAATGTACAACAGATGGCACATAAAAGTGTTATACAAATCATAATATGTTATAATTATTCTTTTGACTTGCAATGATGTACAGAAAATACCGATAGTTGTGTAGAAGCTTTGCCAGCAGTTTTGGGATAATTTACCCCTGGGGAAGATTTGTTCAAAAATATGAAAACAGAATATGAAAAGATGACCCAAATTTGAAGAAATTTGAGAATTGACAGTTCTGAAAATAAGTCATCTTTGTTGCTCATAATAGTTAAGTATCTCTCTCTTAACATGTTTAAAACATGGTTTGATTTTCTTGTTACTGCATTTATAGATGCGGGGCGGTGGGGTAGCCTAATGATTAAAGTGTTTGCTTGTCACGCCGAAGACCCAGGTTCGATTCCCCACATTGGTACAATGTGTGAAACCCATTTCTGGTGTCCCCAGTCTTGATATTGCTGGAATATTGCTAAAAGCGGCGTAAAACTAAACTCACTCACTCACTATTTCGTTTGGCAATAATACTGATCACATTCATGGATTGTTATGTTTCCCTATTTTTTCATTTGTGAAACAAATTCTCCTGCAATTACAGTATTTAACCAACCCGACAAGTGACTCTATAATCTTTTTGCATGTTCACATTCACATTACAGATGAATAACTGTTTAAGCTTCAGCTTCACAGAATGTACACAATGCAGAGCTACATATCCAATCTTATGTAAATTTGTGTTTGTAAAAAGAATGATATGTACAAGTTTGAACTGAAACCACTTCAAGTTAACATTTTGTGTGCATCGCTTCGACATCAAATAGATTCCTTCTTGTTCAGATTTAGTATATTCTTTTTCAAACTCTTTTCCTATTTACATTGTCCAGAAGATTTGGAAAGGTTTCTGTTTTATAAAGATTGATAGAAATGTTAACTGATTTGTTTATTTCCAAGTTTCAGACAGTTGAAAGGAAGAAAAGGACCTTTTAACATGTTTGGGTAGTGTTTGTTTCTGTGTTTTTTTAATGAAATTATAAATTGACGAGCGCAAGCCGTGATATTTTAAGAAATATATTGTCATATCGTATTTGTCTTGAAATTCATCAAAATTATAGTCTGTCATCGTCCATGAAGTCATTTATAAATATGAGTCCTCTTTCAAATAATTCTAAATAACATACGGGTTTTCCATCATGTTTTATGTTGTCATTCCACCAGATGGATTGACAGAGCATCTCAGAAGAACATTCAGTATTTCCATTGTATTTAGCTAAAAGATTGGTCCATCCCTGCAGAAAGTATTTGAAACCGTTGGTATGACACTCGTTTTTATTGTAAACTGGGTCTGCCAACCTAATAATGTTTGATAGACCTCTCGTAAGGACATATCTTACGTTCAATCGGTTTTGCAATATTCTTTTTATCCAATTCAATTTCTGTGCAAATATTGTGTTTTGTATATCTGGTACCCCAATTCCTCCAACTTTAACTGGGTTTTTGTCATTATGCTTCTCTTTACCATATCCTTTTCTCCCATTCCATATAAAGTTGAAACGTTTCTTTTGGAATCTGTCTATGATTTCAATCAGTAGGTTCGGTTAAATACTAAACAAGTGATTTAGTTTTAGGAAGGAATAAAACTTTAAAGATGACGTTTCTCCCCATTCGAGTTAAATTTATGATCAACCACATTTTTCATTTCCCTTTTCATCAAATTGAGTTTCTTTTCATAATTTAGGTTTTGCATATTTTCCAGATCTACATGAAAGTCAGTTCCTAAAAGTTTAAATTTTTTCTGGTTCCAATCCAATACCATATCTTTGCATAGTTTTATTCGAGATTTTTTTTTGGAACCAATCAAGATTAATTTTGTCTTTTTGGTATTGACTTTTAATCGTGAAAATCTTGCAAACGAAGTTAAACTGTTGAAAACAGCATGTAATCCTCTTTCTGATTCATCTAAAGTAAGAGACCACCTCCATGGTGTAGTGGTTAGAGGGTACGCCTGCAGAGCGGAAGGTCTCGGGTTCGATCCCCGACCGCGTCATACCAAAAGACGTTAAAATATGGTACTTGTTGGTCCCTGCCTGGCGTTCGGCATTATTGGGTACAACAAGGACTGGTCGGCTCGGAGTATAATGTGTCTGAGTGGGGTATTCATGCTTCACTGCGGCGTGGTATCTCAGTGGGCTAGCACTATAAAACCAGTTTAAGTCTGGGCTAGTACAAGCAGCCGCACATACACATACACATACACACGCATGCACGTCGTCATATGAGCGAAATATTCTCAAACACGACGTTAAACCCAATTTCACCTCACCTCACCTCTAAAATAAGAGTTGTGTCAATTGTAAATTGTTCTAAGATATGTTCTATATTACCCATACTTTACTTATAAGTACATCTAAACAAACACTTACAACTGTGTGATGCAAGATGATTGTCAAAAGTACAGGTCTACAGTGATTTATCGACCTTCTTAAAACCGTCGAAATCAAGAATGACACCCCATGCACGTGTATGGAGCTACTGCGTTGTTCAAGTGCATCACATGCGTTGTATTTAGGGGTGGTGATAAAGAGAAATAATGGTGCGTTCATAAGATGTCTGTCTTTGACAAGTTTGTTAACGCTTATACTTCCTATCCAAATTGAAAGTTCAGGTTCCCCTACGAGTTTTTTAAGAGGATCTTACTCTCAATCTTGCACACTTATGAAAACACCAGGTCAGCTTGATCTTTCTATACTACCCATCAAAAGTTTAGACTCACTTAAAGCACTCACTATATGTTATGTATATATATGTGGTTACATCGAAGATGAATTTCTCCACTAACTTGGGGGAACCAACTACAAACCTTATGCAGATGAACTGCACGAGGATCATGCATAAAATGTCTGAAATGCATGTGCAAATATCGTGCATGTTAGCTGCTGTGTTTTGGTGTAAAGCTTTGTTAAGAATTCGCCAATTTTCACAGAGTTTCATCATTTATTGAACTCATGATAATAATCATTTCGACGTTACGAATTTGATTTACAATACATCAGTTCATGTTTAGGCAGTACCTTTAAACATTAAGGAATATTTTGCAAAATCTAGTTTAGAACAGTTGACTAAAGTAAGTGGCTACATTTACACTAGTGAGTCTAAACTTTTGATGGGTAGTATATATACATGTGTATGCTTATATGTTAAGACACAAATACCATTACTAAATTATCTTAATTCCAAATTTACATGAAACAAGTTTTGATTTATAAAATCAGTGAAACTCTTTTTTGATATTTCTTTGCTTTCCTTTTCGTTGTCTGTGCTATTGCTGGTTGAGGTTGGAGACGAGTGAGTGAGTTTAGTTTTACGCCGCAATCAACAATATTCAGCTATATGGAGGCGGTCTGTAAATCATCGAGTCTGAACCAGACAATCCCATGATCAACAGCATGAGCATCGGTCTGCACAATTGGGATACGATGACACGTGTCAACCAGTCAGTGAGCCTGACCACCTGACCTGTTAGTCGCCTCTCACGACAAGCACTGGTTGTTGAAGATAAATTTTAACCAGGATCTTCACCGGTAGCTGTGTAGAGGAAAGTAAGCTTAACTGCCCATGTGTCTGTATATATTTTATGACTTAATGCTATCAGTATTAACACTCGCATTTGACTTTCCATCAGAGTTCAAATGTGCTATGTGAGTGTCTTTGGGAATGACATCCCAGTGGGAAAGCTTTTCCAATAACTTAGTATTTCGCAGGTTAATTAAAAGTTGTTTTGTTTGATCAGATAATGACAAAATTTATACCTTTTATACCAGTTATTGATTTTTATTATCAGTAGATATTATTCATGTACATAAACTAACAATTGGTCCGGTAGCAGCAACAGGGCAACCCTGTAAGGATGTTGACGTGGACTGTGCTGAGTACGACACAACGTGGTGCTCTGACCCAAAGTACGAAGCATGGGCGATCTACAAATGTCCACAACACTGCTCAAAATGTAACGGTAAGTAAACGGGGGTAGAAGAAGAGTTGCGGTTGGGTGATGGTCGATCAGGGTTGGTCGTCGTGGGTGGATGGATGAGACTTTTTTGGTGTTAGTCCCCACATATCAGTATTTTATTTGTCCGATCATGTCGTTAAAAAACATTTATGTCTGCTACTATTCAAGCAGTGCTCCAATAGTACAATAGTCGTTTTACACATGACTATCTCCTGAAAACGGATGGGGATGGACCTCCCATGTGTGTTCTCTTGCGATGAAGTGTTCACCATCAAGCATATTCTGCTTGACTGTGTGGACTTCTCGACTGCAAGGGATTCACATTATGATGAGAGAAATCTGAAAGATCTGTTTTCCCACGTCAGCGGGCATCTCATTGTGCAGTACCTGAAGGAAGTTGACGTGTGTCATGAATTATAACTATATAATGTGAATAACGAATCGCTTGCTCTTGGATTTGGTGCTGTAACACATTCTGCTTTTAAATAAGAATGCAATGAATATATTTGTTTTAAACTAAAACTCATTTGGACTTTGCACTTGAAATATCCATGAATGCAGACTTGTTCTCGTCACTATATGGCTGAAATAATGCCGATGTGACGTAAAGCCCAACTCAACTCATCCCAATAGTACAGAGTTAATATTCATATTTCACAAATCCACTAACTGCAAGGTTTAGACAAACATACACAAATAGTGTTTTCCCCAGGATCCAAAAAGGGCAGGGTGACTGAATTTAAAAAAGGCGCACCCCTATTCCAAAACATGCATGCAATGACATATTTCCAAGTATTATGTTAAGCTATTCATAAATATGATTCTTCAGGGCTCAAAGAGTTTCACTTAACTTCAACATGAAATATGAAATAAAAACCACCAAGTGTTAATATCAATTATTGTATTAAAAGGAGGACAGGCGCAAAAATTAAAAGGGCGGGGCACTGCGCCCTGCTAAAAATACCTGGAGGAAACAATAACAAACAATAAATATGTTTACTGTTACTGAAATCACCGAAAGCGGAGGGGGTATAGTGATATCATATGAAAAGGCATTGGTTCGATAGTATATACATGTGCTAAAGCACTGAAATGGAGATACTGAAATCATATGCTAAAGCTTCGACACGAAAGGTTTGAAAGTACAGCAAAAAATGTGCAAAAGCAATGGTAAGAGAGATTGTTAAATATTTAATTCATGTGCTAAAGTTATGAGAGGCTGTGAGTTACCTTACTGAAATACACAATGCCATTTAGAAAGTGGTCAAATGTAACACATGTTATATTTGGGATTACACTTTCTCAGTAAGTGCAGATTCTTGTGCTTTTATCGGGTTGAATCCCATCCGGGATTCGAACCCACACCCTCAGAGTCAGGCACCTAATCGCCAGAACACAAAGTCATCCGTCTAACCCGCTCAGCCACCGCGACTTCCACCAAAAAATGGAAGTCGGACAACTGGTAGTCTCGATCCCGGACTATGTGTACCTCTCTGATAAATGTAAATTAGCACGGTTCCTACCACCGGAAGCTATGAATACACAATGCCATTTAGAAAGTGGTCAAATGTGACTTTACTGAGAAAGTGTAATTCCAAATTACATTTGACCACTTTTAAATATGGCTGTGCTCATGAATGGAACCCGGGTAGTCATGGTAACGGAATAGTCATATAACGGAATATAGATAGTACCCCTGATGATGCATGGATCAAATATACATAACGAGCACAGAACACGTTCGTCACTGAAGGGGCGGTGGGGTAACCTAATGGTTAAAGCGTTGGCTCGTCACGCCGAAGACCCGGGTTTGAATCCCCACATGGGTACAATGTGTGAAGCCCATTTCTGGTGTCCCCCGCCGTGATATTGCTGGAATATTGCTAAAAGCGGCGTAAATCCAAACTCAGTCAGTCATCACTAGAAATTTATAATACTAGTATACTATGTTTTCAGTCGCAGATCTGCAATCAAAACCTCTGACATGTAAGTTGATTAATTTTTCTTGTACACCAGAATTCAATAACACTGAAATCTCATATTCATGTAAGGTTTTCAAATTACGATGTAATATCTAACATTACCTATTGATTACTTGCATGCATACGTGATAAAGCTATACTATGTTGTCCGATCGACAAATCAGTTATCTACACTACCGCACAAACGTTCATGCCCCTCACACGCGTTGAGCACGCGTGTAACACGCATGTGCAACGGGTGGGCAGCGAAATTCGTATGAATTTTGAAATTGGAAATTTTCCAGAAGTGTAGCCTGTAAAACCTTGTAGAACTCTCAAAAATCAGGCTTAGTTAGCATCGTTGATCTCAGAGAGGGGATGGATGGGCAACCGCGTTCTTTGGTAAGCGTGATTCATGAGGGCTTGTTGGACGTCAGTCCTACATCTCCCTGAAAAAAGATGCTACATGTCATCTCTCCCTGTGTAGGACGCTTTGTTCGAAATATGAATCTGTTCGCCCGGCAGTGAATGGGTACTCGGTAGAACGAAACAGCCTGCTTCATGAATTAGCATCGGTAGGAAAGTCTCAAAAAGCTGAGAAATTGTAATATTGCTTTTGGGTTTGGATTTGGGATTTTCTTAATATACAAAATGTTATTATTATGTTTACAGATTAAAATGATATGCAGCAGAGAGGTTGTGTAGTCCAGATTATTTACAGACCGCCGTTATATACATGTAGTTGAGTGCGTTAAAAGACAAATGTTGTCGTTGTTTGTTAAGCTCTTATGATAGGTGAAAGCAAATTAGTCACTTATGCCAGCACCAAGTGTAGATTCAGTTTAGAATTGGTCTTCAGGAACCCGTGCTTGTCGTAAGAGGCGACTAACGGGATCGGGTGGTCAGGCTCGCTGGCTTGGTTGACACATGTCACCGTATCCCAATTGCGTAGATCGATGTTCATGCTGTTGGTCACTGGATTGTCTGGTCCAGACTCGATTATTTACAGACCGCCTCCATATAGCTGGAATATTGCTGATTGCGGCGTAAAACTAAACTCACTTACTCACTCCGGCGTTAAACAACCAACCACACTTACGCATGCCAGCATGTTCATGCTTGTTCCAGTGTGCCAAGACAACGTTGACTGTAGGTTGTATGGCCAGACAGCATGTGGTGGAACACACCAAGCATGGGCGCAACAGCACTGTCCGGAATACTGTGGCTTTTGTGAAGGTTTGTGGAATTTGCCCAAAGCGGACACTCAAGAATCCGGACCTTTGTCATTACCTAATCAAATTCACGGTCCTGAATCTATTATTTACCATGAAGCAATACTTGACCAGTTTGGCCTTTCTTCAATTCTTGGCGATAAAATGAAACCCCAGGTTTTTGTCAGTTGATGTTTTCAGGAGTGGCGCAGACTGAATGTCAACATTGCCAAATCACAAGATGAGGCGTTATTTGAAGAAGAAAACAACATTTTGAATCAGATTGCTCAATAATCTTCCTGATCTTACTCTGACAAAACACAATGTTAAGCAACAAAGAAGTACAAGAAGAGTTATTTTACATGAAATCTTTTTTAGTTTTGGAAAGCAGACAATTATAGAGCATAAATCATGCAGATCCATTTTAAACCTATATACAGCATTGTCAAAAAGAATGTTGACTGTGGAAACCTAGCAGTCATTATAACTGCTACTCAAGTGATTGAGTGAATTTTGTTTTGTGCCACTAATGTTCGAAAAATATGAAAGCATGATAGAGGAGCAATGGGTATTTACCTGGTACCCATGTGGGGATCGAACCTAGGCCTGCGATATGTCAGGCGAACGCTTTATCCTCTAGACTACCTAACCGCCCTTGTCTTGTATTGCATATTATACATTATTGCATATATAAAATAGTGAGTGTGGGTGAGTGAGTTGAGTTTTACTTTGCTTTTAGCAATTCTCCAGCGGGGGACACCAGAAATGGGCTTCACACGTTGTACCCATGTGGGGAATCGAACCCGGGTCTTTGGCGTGACGAGCGAACACTTTACCCAATGGGCTACCCCACCGTCCCTAAAATGAAAATAAACTATTTAAAGAAAATGAAATGTGCCAATACAACCTTCCTATGTGATTTCCGTCGCCGTGCTCAACACTATGCATCAAAGCGAGCACTCGAACCTTGGTCTCAGGCAGGGCGATCGACTCTGAGTGAGTGAGTGCGTGAATAGGTTTTTACTCTGCAGATGACACTAGAAATGAACTCATGTTTTGGTCTTTTAAACCCGACTTTCCGTAGTCACCAGTCCACGCCTAAACCACTAGATTACCCAACCACGTCCGTCACTCTATCAAGGGAAAGAATCCATATTTGCAGGAATTAACCGACCCCCAAGTCATGCGTGGATGCGATTCCTAACTGTGGTCAATACGCCACCATCTGCAGAAACCAAAGCTTCACCATATGGGTTGATGACAACTGTAAAAACCTGCGGCCTCTGTCCAGTTAAGGGTAAGTTCTGACCGGTCCGTCCTGAAAATTGTCCTCATTTTGTAATCTAACAACGACATTTTAACCTGAATTTTCTTTTTGAACCTTACTTAGAACTTGAAGTGAGTGAGTTGAGTTTTACGCTGCACTCAGCAATATTCCTGCTATATGGCGGCGGCCTGTAAATAATCGAGTCTGGACCAGACAATCCAGTGATCAACATCATGAGCATCGATCTACGCAATTGGGAACCGATGAGATGTGTCAACCAAGTCAGCGAGCCTGACCACCCGATCCCGTTAATCGCCTCTTACGACAAGCGTAGTCGCCTTTTGTGGCAAGCATGGGTTGCTGAAGACCTATTCTACCCCGGATCTTCACGGGTCCATATGTATCTGAAAAGAAATATTAAAAATATTCATTGCGTATTGTTCTGTGTGAACATGTTACCTAATGTTAAGTGATATGTTTAATGTTCGGGCATTGTCGGTGTAATACGTTTCCTCTATATTCAGAAATGCAAATAAACTGACGTACAAAAGAAAGTACACACCTGATGCTTTGGTAAAATGTTTTCCTGAAAACAGCGTAATATTTCGAAAAGTGTTTTGATTGCCACTCACAAGTCACAAACATTGTGTACGTGTTGCAATAACACCATAGATATCGTACCCAATTGGAACATTGCTAGCAAAATATTTACGTTGTTTAATAGTCTCAAAACACAAGGTGTGTACTTTCTTTTGTACATCAGGATATCTATTCTCTTACACAGGCGGTGGGGTTACCTAGTGGTTAAAGCATTCGCTCTTCACGCAACAGATTCCCTACATGGGTACAATGTGTGAAGCCCATACTGCTAGAATATTGATAAAGGCGGCGAAAAACAATACTCATTCACTCACTCACTGTTCTCTTACTCAGAGAATAAATTAAGAACGGAATCCGAATGGAGTGTAGAATTTGGCAGGTCTAGGTCAGAACTGAAAAGTATGCGTTGTTCTGAGCTTCTTTTAGATATTATTATATATTTTATAGATATAGGCAGCAGTTATGTTCGTTTATATCTATCATTCTGTAGTCGATCGACGAGTTATACAATGAGTGTGATCGATAAAGAAATAAACAATTCTTTTTTTCAGATGATGCCGATATTTTGTTGCGGTCTTAAAGATTCATTTAATCCACCTCATCTGTTCCCCGACTGGCTGCAGATTGTATGTACATAAATATATACGTGAAAAATGTGTACGCTCATCTTTTCTCAAAGAAATTGTAATCACTTTTTGATCTTTCCATATTTCTTTCATAAGAAAAGGAAACAGAAGGAACAATCCCAATAATCGCAGCAACGGTCTACTGCCCCCCTATAGGTGCGGACGAAGGTGACATTCGAAACCCATGCCTGTCTGAGAGGCGACTTTTATAACGGCATCTTGGAGACAGACTCGATGATTTGGTCGATGCAGGTCATTATATGTACATTTCATAGATCGGTGCTCGTGATATCAACCACTGTCTGCATCAGAGTCGATTATTTGACCGACGGAATAGTTTGGAAACAGACAAACAAACAAACAAACAAACAAACAAACAAACAAACAAACAACAGATCCTGCTTAGGATGATATGAATTATTATACCACTTCATTCTGCGATTCTATCCTTACACCGGAAAACAACATTTTGCTAGAAACTTTAGAAATACATGCACCATGCCTTGGATCTTAGCAGACAGTGATTCTGTTCTCAGGTGCAATTTGCATGTATGGCCCTATCCATCAAACTAGTCCTGTCTCACAGTCCCTGAACCGCAGAATTTCCGCGTCCGTATCTGCAATGAAAAAGCCCTAAATGAAGCAAATCCAGATTTCCTCAGGTTGTGAATCTCCCATCTCACTGGGGCTCATTTACAAATTAAACGGACTTATTTGTTTCTATCAAAGCTATATATACTTCTCTTCAAAAGTTTAGACTCACTTAAAACACTCACTATATGTTATGTATATATATATTGTTACATCGAAGATTGATTTCTCCAATGACTTGGGGGAACCAATTGCAAACTTCATGCAGATGAATTGTACGAGGATCATGCATCAAATTGCTGAAAAGCATGTGCAAATACCGTGCATGTGACCAGCTGCGTTGAGGTGTAAAGTTTTGTTAAGAATTCGGCAATTTTCATTGATTTTTATCATTTACTGAACTCATGACATTAATCTTTTCAACGTTACGAATTTGTTTTACAATACATCAGTTCATTTGTAAACAGAACCTTTAAACAGTATGAACTATTTTGCAAAATTTAGTTGCCTGAAGTAAGCGGCTATATTTACACTAGTGAGTCTAAACTTTTGAAGAGAAGTATATAATAAGAGACTAAACGTTAGGTTACCATCGAACCGGCAGGGAAAGATGTTATGTAAGGGTATGCAGTAAAGTGAATATGGTTTCAAGCTGCAATATTCAAGCCTTATCACTTAGCTGACGCCAGACTTAGTGTCCCCATGTGGTGGTGTTGGTGAAATTGGGTTTAACGCCGTGCTTGAGAATATTTCGCTCATATGACGAAGTGCATGCGTGTGTATGTGAATGTGCGGCTGCTTGTACTAGCCCAGACTTAAGCTGGTTTTATAGTGCTAGCCCACTGAGATACCATGCCGCAGTGAAGCATGCATACCCCACTCAAGTATATAATAAGAGACTAAACGTTAGGTTACCATCGAACCGGCAGGGAAAGATGTTATGTAAGAGTATGCAGTAAAGTGAATATGGATTCAAGCCGCAATATTCAAGCCTTATCACTTAGCTGACGCCAGACTTAGTGTCCCCATGTGGTGGTGTTGGTGAAATTGGGTTTAACGCCGTGCTTGAGAATATTTCGCTCATATGACGACGTGCATGCGTGTGTATGTGAATGTGCGGCTGCTTGTACTAGCCCAGACTTAAGCTGGTTTTATAGTGCTAGCCCACTGAGATACTATGCCGCAGTGAAGCATGCATACCCCACTCAGACACATTATACTGACTCCGAGCCGATCAGTCCTTATTGTACCCATTAATGCCGAGCGCCAGGCAGGGACCAACAAGTACCATATTTTAACGTCTTTTGGCATGACGCGGTTCGGGGATCGAACCCGCGACCATCCGCACTCCGGGCGGACGCTCTAACCACTACACCACGGAGGCGGTAGTGTCCCCATGTACGGAATCGAACCCGGTCATCGACTTGACGAACCAAAGCATTATCCACTTGACTACCAAACCACCAACACTAGGTCGACAATGTGGCCGGTAGACAGAGGAATTGTTGATTGTGACATTAACTAATTCTTTTCTTATCTGGATGTGAATAATGAAGATAGGACTCAGAAATATGCATTTCTGTAATCTTCAACACGATAGTCCTGTTTGCTGAAGACTACAAGCGTGTGGCAAGGTCGACGATGTTGAGACCGGTGCTCGTCCTCGGTCTAGTTTCATGTGTCGCAGCGGATCGTAAGTTATGTTTTGTGACGGTAAAGTGTTTTATCATCAAAAACGGTGTAGCAACTATTAATAGTCATTTTAGACTAACGCTTAGTCCCTGAATAGATATAATTTTGATAGTAACAAATAAACCCATTTAAATTGAAAAGGAGCCCCATTGAGTTGGGAGATTCAGGAAGCTGGTCTAGACTTGCTTCATTTAGGGCTTTAGCATTGCAGGGAGGGCTAGGCAGTAGGGAAAATATGTGTGTTTGTGTGTACGTGCGTGTGAGTATTAAGTAGCTAACGTTATCACTGAGTACGGTTATTTGTAATTAGTAAATAACCAATTCTTTAATTGCGTTTTTCTGCTTCCATGGATCATACCAGTACTTGTTACCACTTGGAGAATCTCACATTCTTGTCACACCCTTTCTGCAGGTATCGATCTTTGTCATACGTGGATATTTAGTTCAGGTTATTTCCTGCAAATAAACAGAGGTTCGTTATGAATGGTGTTTAGAGGTTTTGATTCAGCTGAATGTATAGATACATCATTTCACGCATGTATTAAGAGTCCGTTTATTTGGCTGTTCCGGACGACTCATCACCCAAGGAAACGAGACTTAAAAATCGCCGTTTTTTACATTCTACATTTCATGCATGTGAAACTGCGAGTGAGTGAGTGATTGAGTGAAAGAGTGAGTGAGTGAGTGAGTTTAATCTTACGCCGCACTCAGCACTATTCTCGTTATATGGCGGTGGTCTGAAAATAATCCAGTCTAGACCAGACAATCCAGTGATCAACAGCATGAGCATCAATCTACGCAGTTGGGATACGATGCCATGTGTCAATCAAGTCAGCGAGCCTGACCACACGATCCCGTTAGTCGCCTCTTACGACAAGCATTGGTTAATTCTAACCCGGATCTTCACGGGTAGTTTCAAAGCAGCAGGTAAAGCGGACAATCTTTAATCCGGAAGAAGTCCTTTTCAGCTTGCGTGGACAAGTCAGACAACTGCGAGAGTTATGGAGGTGCAGTATGTGACGGACTCTATCTAGCGTGGGCCGCACAAAACTGTCGGAGAACATGCAACCTATGTGGAGGTCAGTCAACATAACATATTTTTCTTGCTCCAGTTATTGCCCAATGCATAAATATGATTCATATTTAGTACTAAGACCAGAGAGAAAGGCCTTGGTTTAGCGCTGTTTTGGGACGTATTTGAGACGGTGGGGTAGGCTAGTGGTTAAAGCGTTCGCTCACCACGCCGAAGATCCAAGTTCGATTCCCAACATGGGCACAATGTGTGAAGTCCATTTCTGGTGTCCCCCGCCGTGATATTGTGGGAATATTGCGAAAAGCGGCGTAAAATCATACTCTTTCATTGGAAAGTATTTCAGTAATATCACCAAGTGTGAGTTAAGTATTGTTATTTAATGGCGCTGCCAGCAGTATTCCAGTTATGCAAATAATCGACTCTGGACCAGACAATCCAGTGACTGACATCATGTCCGATAAAGTTACCAGGTTTTTACATTATCTACATCGGATACCCTTTTACATAGGTGTGGTGTCGACAAACCATCAAACATAATATGCGTGTGTCTGGACCCGTGAAGATCCGGGTTAGAATTGATCTTCAGCAACCCATGCTTGTCGTAAGAGGCGACTAACGGGATCGGGTGGTCAGGCTAGCTGACTTGGTTGACACATGTCATCGTATCCCAATTGCGTGGAACGATGCTCATGCTGTTGATCACTGGACTGGATTATTTACAAGCCGCCACCATATAGCTGGAATATAGCTGAGTGCGGCGTTAAACAACCAACCAACCAACCAGCCAATCTGGGATTAAAGGCATAGGTATCTGTCACACGCAAGGGACGCAACTCTGCACAAAGGAGGAAAGTCGACTGAAGAGTTACACAATTCGATCTGCAGAGTTGCGCCCCTTAGTTTTCATGGTCCTTTACGATAGGTTCGAATCTCAGATTCGCACTTATTGTGATCACTAGTTTGTCAGCACCATGTGAGTGGGTTTCGCCTGTGGGTTCCTGAATCTTGAATACCTACAGATTTTTACCCACAATATCACTCCACTCCGCTCCAGGGCGGTCACAGGCCTGAAGGAAAATGCAAGAACACTTCCAACCAAAACTATCATGAGAGCATTTCGCAAAACTGTCAGCAGTGTTTGAACTAAGCCAAAAACCCAGCCAGACATCAGGACTGCTAACTTCAATATGTTACCAGCTCAAACTGGATTTAACCAGACCAGACACCAAGATAAAGTGAATTTACTCAGGTGTATGGAACATCTAAACTTTTTACCAGACCATCAGGCTGTCAAGCTGTAAATTTAGACCGTCCGTCAGAAATCTAGCCCGTCTCGGTCGGTCGGATGGGCCTTATTTCATACATTGCTTCAGACAAACATACTAATAAAGCTGTCTGTCTTATGGCTGAAATAAGTTGAGACATGCTCTTTCGAAATAGTGTAATTTCTTTGTGACAGAATATAGCTTCACATCGACTGTCATCTGCAGTATACAGTATTGTGGATGGCTAGAGTTTTATGCTGTTTTAAGTCCCCTTATATCACGACACCTAAATTTGCTTCACCCTTTGTACCTATTCGACCAGAACCTATGCTGGCTGAGCAAACGCATGAACCACTGGGCTGTCCCGCGTTCTGCACACTGGGCGTTTGTCGTTGATTAATTTACCCATTTATTTCAGAAATTCTATTCTAACTGACTGATGGAGTTTTCACAATTCACGTTTAAAATAACATTCTTATATACACAGTATCGGCAACTGTATCCCCACCATGCGACGACGTTGACTACGATTGTGTGGACTATGACAAATCGTCATGCTCGGATCCCAGTTACGCAGACTGGGCGAAGTACAAATGCCGCTACTTCTGCCGTCTCTGTACTGGTACTGCGTCATTGTAGCGATATCATAACTTTAGAAACTTCTTACGGAAATGGCATTAGTGTTTGTTCATTGAACTGCCACTTGACAAACAAAAGTGTCACTGTCATATTCAGGTGTAGATGCATTAATTTCAAACAGATACCAGAAAGAATTAACCTTGAAGTTACTTGATTAGTAAAGGCGCACATTTAGACAGTACAACTCAACCGAAGAGTGAGTGAGTGATTTGGGTTTATCACCGCTTTGAACAGTCCCCGAACTATATCAAGGCGTGTAAAGGTAGTAAATTTTAAGCAATCAGCTCACCCGGAGAGTGAGTGAGTTCACTCTTCAAAAAAAGAAACGCATAGGCCAAAAATAATGGCGTATTTTAGTATACAAAAGTCGATTGAGCTTGAACATAGATGAAGGAATTTCGACACAGAGATGAACATACGTATTGTATTGTATGTCATTGTCAGCATTAATTCAGTTCACTCACTGCACATGTGTGGACAGAAGGTGCTCAGGTCAGTACCTGGTGACACCAACCCTTGCAGCCGTCACTACTCGACACCGCCTTGGAAGGGATTGCACAAGGCGTCGGGTTTTTGCTTGGGGAATTCTTTGCCATGCAACGCGCTGACAAGTTCTGCAAGTGTCTTAGGACGATGGTGACGTTTACGGACGCGTCGATCAAGTTCGTCCCATAGATGCTCGATGGGGTTCAGATCAGGCGATTTGGAACTGGCGGTTAAAAAGTGGGAGGAGCTGAGGTCGCAGGATTTGGTCGATGTAGCGATTTGTTGTAAGATTGCCTTGCACCACCACTAGCTCTGATCTGACCGTGTAGGACATGTCCATCCACAGCATGACGCCACCTCCACCAAATCTGTCGAAGGCAATTCTGCGCAAAACGTTCGTGTCGACGTCGATAAACTCATAGTCTCCCATCCCGTCCTTGCAGGAGGAAACGCGATTCATCGCTGAACCAAACGCGTCGACAGGTCCCCAGGTTCCATGCCTGTACCCTGTTGCACCATTGGGCACGTCGTTGTCGGTGTAGTCGTGTCAGGACAGGTCCAAATGTTGGTCGAATTCCCACTTCTTTCTGACGGTTTGCTCGGAAATTCTTCGAAGAACAGGCACCTGCCCTGCAGTGTCCGTTACTGTAGCAAATCAGCGACTTAGGTGAAAGACCCGGATGAATCGGTCCTGGGCAGGAGTGGTCACTCTTGGCCATCCACTTCTGGGACGATCTTGGGTCGAATTGAAGCGGGTATATCTATGTCATAATCGAGATATGGTGCTGTGATGGATGTGGAAGTGTCTTGCAACGGTAGACTGGGACTCCCCTGCTTCCAAACTTCCAATGGCGATATTTCGGCCAGTAGCATTCAATCATGGCATTTTTTATCTTTGGTTACGTCGTAAATTTCTTAATGAAATGATGAATTTGGTTTGGCCTGTCATAGTCGATGACTCTACTCATGTTTCCGACATATTACACGCGCATTACGTGGAAACTTTTTTCTGCATGAACATTTCATGTATCGTTTTTAATTTTTATGACAACCGTTTACAAACAACGACATGATTAACTGAATTCAAACAAAGGAATTGTCTTAATGACGATTGCTGTCAAAATATATCGAAATAAACTGCTGAAACCGCCAATGCATTTCTTTTTTTGAAGAGTGTATATCCTCATCTACCACATGCTGTACCTGCCGTTTCCAAAGATGCTGTTATGTTTACATCTTAAGAAACTGTCTAAGCCTGCGCAGGATGAAGAAACATATGTATGTACGTATTTGATATCAAATTCGTTCACGTAGCACGTCACATTTTGCTTGAACGTTTTCAGCTGAAGAATTGGCTGTGAAAGATTTGGAATCAATACCTCCAGTACGTGAGTATATTTGGTTACATACACGTGCATCTCATGTTCTTGAAGATGGTATTGGGTAAGGTAAAAGATGGGATTGTAATGTTGAATCTGTATTTAAACGAAAATATGTTCTGGATATGTTTGATATAAAGTCGTGCATTGGCGATGTTGGATAATTTTGTAGATAATGTGTTTTATGTACAAGATTTATTTTAGTTAAATATTTTTTTGAAGAAAACGTTTTAATGTGTTCATTAAAATACTGTTAAAATGCCAATCGAGAATGCTGAGATCCTGGGAACAAGAAACAGCACACCCCGACCTTCACCTTATTCCCATCCACTAGCCCCAGAATAGCACAACTCCGTTGTGAATAGGTTGGTACGGTTCTGTGACTTGGCTCATTGGTGCACTAGTTTCCTTTATTGCAAAGGGAAATGTTCATACTTCATTGACAGTTTGCCTGCACGTGTAAATCTGGGTTAGAATTCTTCTTCAGCAACCATGACTTTCTTCCTTAAAAATCCGGGTTGGAATTGTTTTTCAGCAACTCATGCTTATCTCCCGTTATGGAAAAAGCTGAAAACAGTCGCCAAAACACTGCTAACTTAAAGTCAAAAACATGATCTCGTATCAAATACCATCGAACAACAATTTCTTGCTTGTTTCAACTTCAAACATGGGCGTATACGTACTTTTGTCCGTCAATATATTATTTCATTGTGTTCGGAACGAAAATCTTTTATACGTATTTATTTCTTACAATTCAACTGCATGTTAACTGCTCAAGGGTACAATCAGCATCATGCAGTAGGCTTATTCTGCTGATCGCTATCGTAAATGTGGAAAAACGTGACATTTTTTTAATTGAACACACTTTTAAAATTACATTCACTTTTTGAATTCTGAATGGAACACTGGGAATATTGACGCGATTGGGTAGCTACTGACAGCAGAAGAACGCCTGATCTCTTTCAGTCACTGAGTGAATTTGGTTCAACAGAATTCGAACCCATGAAGAACCCACGTTTCTGGCAAGTCAAAGGAACTAAGAACTACATCGGCCCAGATGACTTGTCCTACACTGTCTCTGTTCTGTTCCAGTTTGTACAGACAAAGTGAACTGCCATAACTACGGTGCCCATGTCTGCGATGAGGAATACCAGGCCTGGTCTAGACTCAACTGCATGGAATACTGTGGACACTGTAAGGGTACGTCATAGCAAATTTTGTTGCTTGTTCTTGGACTGTGTGTATTTTTTCTGTGTTTCCTATCTCCCGCCAGTCTTGACTTTTCTTTCTGACGTGAAATAGTAAAATCAATTATCTCAAGTTTTCTCACAGGCGTGGAAACTTATGCCCTAATTAGGCCATGATGTAATGAAAAATATTGTTATCTTTTCACTTCAAAAACAGGTCAGCTTCTTCATCCATATTCTTCATTTTCATCTTTATTTGAATATTTCAAATTGTTTTCGATTCAAAGTGACTCGTTCTGCATCATAAACTAACTATTATAAAGTTACTTAATTTTTGCAATTCCTTGAAAACTTACATAATTAGTGAAAAACAGTTGTATATATTTTTAGCTTAATTTATGAATTTCTCCAATCAGGGCTCTTGTTTTTTGTTGGAGATGAGAAACATACAAACTAAGCATACAATCAGGTTAGATTAGGTGAATGTCTTTAAACGTCGAGTTCCAGATTATTGCTCTTATAATCTACGTGCATGCACGTGTCCTAGTGCGCATGCGTGAGTGCATTAGACGGAACAAATGCGGTTTTGACCACTCTCCGATCTCAGGAGGCCTTGTTTCGTCCCTATAACGCCACGGAACCGGAAGGGTAACAGTTGGTATTTTGATAAGACGTGGCCGGGGATCGAAACCCGACCTCCCGCTCTTCTGGCAGACGTTGTATCCTCTTGACCACAGATCGTTTTCAGTAACCCATGCTTGTCGTGTGAGTCGACTAACGGGATCTGGTTGTCAGGCTCTCTGACTTGGTTGACACGTGTCATCGGTTCCCAATAAATGGACTGTCAGGTCCAAACTCGATTATTTACAAACCACCGCCATATAGCTGGAATATTGCTGAGATTGGCAAGCATGCAAACAAACAAACAAACAAACAAACATCTTAAGGAAGCATTCAAGAAATTATTTATGTCAGATCATCAACCATGTCCTGCGAGCTTTGTATTTTGTAACACTGGAAAAAGATACACGCCACGTATAGTCTGTTTGGATCAAAATGATACCGATGAATCACAATCTAACTCCAAATCGGTTCACAATCAAACAGTCATTTCAACGCAGAATGTAAAGAAAACATCAGACCAACTCTGGAAAAAGTTACATAACATTTGACTCCAAAATACAAAAGTTACTTAACAAACTATCATAATTTTGTTTTAATTTTCTGTGTGACGTTTTACGAGGGTAGAGTAACTTGTAGACCGACTCAAGACACCTGTGTCAGCTTGTTTACTGTAGTGTTGTAAATAGTTGTCATAACAACCCATGTCAGCATACTATTACATTCTCAGCCATATACCTCATATGTGCTACGTCGATAAAAGACATCATAGTCAACACTACTTAAAAAGGTTTGAGTCGGCTTAAAACCGCATTGGTGTGGGGGGGGGATGTAATCGCGTTCTCTGGTCCCACCAAAGACCTGGGTTCAATTCCACAAAATTTCTAAATGCGATATGTAAACATTACTCAAAAATCGCCTTTATCAATTTGCACCTATATATAGTCACTGGATATCAAAAGGCGCCAAGTCATCATAGTGCAGAACAAAACCCGGACGATCAATCTGCCAGGGTGACACAGTATCATGTCAACCACCCAAATGCCCTTATACTAAACTTTTACTTATTCCTAACGCGGGGAGTGATAACTTGCAGGCGTCCCTCATCCACCTCCAGCCTGCAAGGACACCGTGACCAACTGCATGGACTTCGGCAGCAGCCTCTGCAGCAACGACACCTACTCTGTTTGGGTCGATGACCACTGCCGAAAGACATGTGCTCGTTGTGATGACGGTACGTGGACACGTGAGACAATCAATATGAGAACATAATATAATACATAATACATAAAAGTGACAAATTCAAAACCTTCTATCCATTGTAAGAATGTTGCAGTCCAGTAAATACAGAATGATTAAACACATTGTGTAAGACACAGGGGCACACCTTGTTCTCATGCTCCTTATCAAGTTCATAAAAGAAGTTTGCGGAATCGCATTCCATTCCTCTGCTAGAGCTCTGCGGAGTCCTGGGAGATCCACTGGTAATGGGTGACGTGTGGACACACGTCAACCAAGTTCATCCCAGGCATGCTCAATTGGGTTGAGTTCTGGCGAGCATGCTGGAAATTCCATACGCTCTGTACCCTGCTGCCTAAGGAATTCCGTGACATCCCTGTCCCTATGAGGCCCAGCATTGTCTTTTTGCAGTAAAGAGGATCTAACATAAAAGCCATGCATAGCTTGCGGTAATGGTACTGCTACAAGAGCCAGAATCTCGTCCGGATAACGCTGTCGGGTAAGACTACCGTCGACCCCGTGCAGTGGAATACGTCCAGTCGGAGTTATCAATGCCCAAACCTGCGCCTGCCTGTTACGTAGTGTTAGTGGTGGACGGAGTGCAGGTCGTCTACAGCGGAGTCCGACGGCCCTTAAACGTCGACGAACGGTGCTCCTTGATATCCTTACATTGCTAACATTGAAGTGTTCTGCCTGAAGATCTGCTGCGTTAAGAAATCTGTTACGTAACGCAGTTTTAATCATGTGCCTATCATCTCGGACTGTTGTGACTCTTTGGCGACCTGGTCGACGTGCATATTCCACGGACCCATTGGCTTGAAATCTATGCCACAGTCTAGCAATAGCACTCTGACTCACATTAAAGCGGACAACAATCTGCCGCTGAGTTTGACCCCATTCCAAAAGGCCTATAGCCTGACCCCTTTCAAAAAGTGTCAAAAAACGTCTCATTTTAAGCTGCGATTTCAAACAGGTACCTGAACAGTGAACGACAGTGAAAAAGCATCAATGATGTGTATTGTCCACCACTTTCCATGGATAGAGCGACTTGCACGTGCAAATCATTGACATTAAGTGGCAGGTGGATTTCAATATTGACGATTTGAATAAAAACTGTGCCATTTGTAACAGAATGTATCGGACGTTAAAGAACGTAATAATGACATTTCAACGGCCTGATGTGTTTTTCCTTACTGTTAAGAAAATTTAAACATTCAGTTGTATACATTTCAAACAAAAAAGAACATTTTACAACTTTTAAATAGTGTTACCTGTAGCTTGAGCCTTCATTAATGACGCCGAGTAGATATATTCAGTGTTCATATATATCCATCTATGCTTTACAGATGATGTGCGGCTTCAGACTCCATAACTCAGCAACCATTATTTCGACGACCAGCGGTCATCCAAACCTGACCATCCAACTGACCATGTTGATTCGTTGATTTACTAAAAGTTCAAATGACTACGGAATGCTTGCATTTTACGCGATGGCATACATTTTTTTAGATGAATGATTCCAAGCAACACCCAAGCTCAATACATCCACTCAGACATGCCTATAAGACTATCCGTATTTGTATATGTGTTTCTCGTCTCTATACGCAACAAGCAAGAGAACAGGTTGGCTAATATATATAAATATATATATTAAAGTTTTGCCATGGACTACAGACGGTACTAGCTAGCCATATTGACGTAAACTTGGCCACGGTTCTAGTTTAAATTCGCGCGAAATAATGTCGCAGTTGATTCAATTCGCGGAACCATCACAGTGTATAACCTCTAGTACACGCACGCCCCTGGCGGATTAGTACGGCATTATTACCAATTATGACTTATTTCACTAATTGTAACTTTTTAAATTAAATCTTTAAGTTTTGATCCCTTGGTAATAGTCTTTTAAATAATTTATGATGAAGTTCGAGTCTTTATTTGAACAATTCAGCTGATGAGAAATGAGTGAGTGAGTGAGTATGGTTTTACGCCGCTTTTAGCAATATTCCAGCAATATCACGGCGGGGGACACCGGAAATGGGCTTCACACATTGTACCCAGATGAGAAATGAAGCTGACCTGTCTTTTATGTTCTCGGTTAAGAGCATTTATTTTATCATATCAGTGTATGAAGTGAAAATGGAGATATGAAAGCGGTTCATTATTTCATGTCAGGGAGATGGGAAACACAGATACAAAGTCTAAACACTGTCGAAAAAAGGTCGTTAAGAGGCTAAAAGTGGACAATGTTCGTTGAAGGGTATGCAGAAGTGGAATGCATAAGAAAAGCAAGATTTATGGATGTCAAACTTCTTTATTGGGAATAGCACGGCTTTTCGGAGTGTTGCTTGCTCCTGCACAATGCCAGCTCCAGAATAACCATGCAGCAAATCCAGCACCTACGCTCACGGAACGCCTACCTTCAGACCCAGATCGACAGCTCTAGAGCTCATCTTGAACACACCCTCAAGCCTGACCTCTACCAAAAGACCTAATCCTTAGCCGACACCATTCTTACCCAGATCAACGAGAAAACCAAAGTCATCCACATCAGCAAGTTCAACCGCCTCCAAATCCCCAGAAGACAACACGCCCGGGAGGCCAGCCTCAGATCACAGCTGATGAAGGAACAAGCATACACTCCGAAATGTCGTGTTATTCAGAATTAAGAAGTTAACATCCATAAAACTTACTTTACCCGTGACCAATGTTATCTTGCTGACTGTGTTGTAGATGTCAGGACCTGACCTATCCCTAGAAGTGATTAGGAGGGCCTTAACCACTGCTGTTGCACCACGATTGCATTACGAGACATTCTCATGTTTGAATGACTCCCACCCTCCTCCCAACATTTCTATACAAAGTAAGTGACCCCACCTCTGTATGACACGTACAAAATCAATGCCCCCTCCCCATCTTCAGATAATATTTAAGCATAACGTTTTAATATTTTTGTGTACAAAATTGCTGACCCCCTTAGTTCATGTGTACAAAATTGATGACCCCTTAACTCCCCAGAACAAAATGGGTGACACCCCCGTAAAATCACCATCATCACAACCCCCTCCCCCGTCCAAAACACACACACACACACACACACACACACACACACACACACACACACACACACACACACACACACACACACACACACACACACACACACACACACACACACACACACACACACACACACACACACACACACACACACACACACACACACACACACACACACTCACGAAGCCTATGCCATGATGTATTCATGTATTGATGGTGCCAGGCAAATTTTGCTTTTGTTTGTTGTTAAACGCCGCACTCAGGAATATTCTAGCGGCGGTCTGAAAATAGAGTCTGGACCAGACAATCCAATGACCTTCATGAGCATCGATCTACGGAAATTGGCATATGATGACATGTGTCAACCAAGTCAGTGAGCCTGACCACCCGATCCCGTTAGACAAACACGGGTTGCTGAAGACCAGTTTTAACCAGGATTTTCGCTCGTCGCCAGGAAAGTAGACCAACCTTATTCTTCAGATTTCTATACATGCCACCAATATTTATGTTACAGATTCCAAACCTAATGATATGTACTTCAAATTTCACTGGCCAGGTACACTCCTTGCGCCTCTAACCGAGGACGAAGCGTGTGATCCACTTAGATAGCCTTTTATCTGGCAATATCCTCCCACTCACGTCTCCCACCTACACCTCTACACGTTCTGACCTCGCGTCTTCAGATTTATCACGAGCATTATTTTCTCCTATGATATTAAGTCCACACAGTATTATTTATAGTCCATTATGTGGTTAATAGATCTAACATACGAAACGTGGCCGTTATCTGTATTACACATTGATATTGATCTGACTGAAAGAGGGAGTTGGGTCTGATGTCTTCAGGATCGAATTCCAGTTATCTAATTAGTTTAATGCAGGGTGGTGGGGTAGCCTAGTGGTTGAAGCGTTCATTCGTCACGCCGACGATCATGGGTACAATGTCTGAGGCCCATTTCTGGTATCCCCCGACGTGATATTGCTGGAATATTGCTAAAAGCGGCGTAAAACTAAACTCACTCACTTGCTCAGTTTAATGTTTAATTTGAAACACACGGACACGGGGGTGCTACTTGCAAACCTTGAAACATGGTCATGGTGAATCGGGATTCGAACCCAGTTTTGGATATGTTGCCAACAGGACATCTAATAATAAACAAATATGATAAAACATAATTTTGTGGTGTGCCCGATTATTTGGGCCCATTTTCCGAAAAATCCAAGAAGGCGTCCAAAAATCAAATGCAATGGAATATTGCTAAAAGCGGCGTAAAACCAAACTCACTCACTCATTCTAACACTATATGACTTTCCCAATCTCGATTATAGCAGAAAACCTTGCATAGTGCCAGGGAATATCATGATAAAACATGTTTGTGGGGTGTGCCCGACTTTTTTGGCTTAAATCCAAGACGGCCGCCCAAAATCAAAGAATGCTGAAGTCCACCCAGAATGGTCGCGACTATAAAAATTCTTCACTTGTTGCAATATGTGAGATATATTCGTCGTTTAGATGGGCTTTTTCTAATACTTTCAAGAAATATAACGATGTGAATAGAAGTTGAGAAGATTGACAAATGCACTTCTTTGAGCATAGAGGTTAAGACTTGCAGTCACATTTGATAATGTTGTTGATAATGATACCATCAGAAAAGCTAATTTCATTAGACACTATTTCAAGCTCTTCCAAACCTTCACTTCCAGACAGTTACTTTATAGTTCCTGCAGTAGCCTGCAATGTGGGGAGAGTTAATGTGCCTGGAACTCACACGCATCATCAAGTCGAGGACAACATCACCAAAGCTAAAGAAGAATCTTGGATCAAGCACTGCATTGGCCTTTATGCTAGAGAACTTTAGGAAAAGGATTAGTTTATTGCCTGGTGCATTTCATGCTTCTTGTCAATTCCAGGAACAGATTGCAGGAGGAATAGGTTCTCTCCTTCCTCTCTTTAAGGACAAAGCAGCAAGTCTTGACATGGTTGGGCATGGTATGTCTATCATCAAGACAGTCACAGAACATTGCAATCCAGGACAACTCCAAGTCATGGCTGTAGACCAACCACTTTTTCCGCTAGCAAAATATTTTCAATGGAGATGGCCTAATGTGTTTGGTGAAGACGTGTACACTATCATGCTTGGAGGTCATCACACTGAAATAGCCTGATGTTACATGGTTGGAGACTTATTGGAAGATTCTGGGTGGACTTCAGCGCTAACAGAAGTGGGTATTGCCTCAAGTGGAACAACTACATCTTTCATTTCGGCATCTCATGTTACAAAGACAATCTCATCAAATAACTGCCATATTACTAGCAACCTTCAAAGAGATGCTCACGAGTCCTCACTGGAACCGCATGTTCAACAATCATTTGAAGACTGGCTGGAAAAATTGGATGTCAGAAAAGAGCCCAGCATTCAAATACTGGGATTTGATTCTTCATTTCGAGACAATGATGCTAATCTTTGTGTGGGATCGGGCGGTCAGGCTCGCTGACTTGGTTGACACATGTCATCGGTTCTCAATTGCACAGATCAATGCTCATTCTGTTTATCACTGGATTGTCTGGTCCAGACTCGATTATTTACAGACCTTCTCCATATATCTGGAATATTGCTGAGTGTGGGGTAAAACTTAACTCACTCACTAATCTTTGTGAGGTTCCATCGCAAAAGAAACATGTCCTTGTACATCCAGGTAATGGAACAACTTGTCCCTTGGTTCTTTGATCTTGATCACACCAACTATGCACGCTGGCTGTCAGTTCACATCAGAGACGAAAGCCCTTCCTGTTGACAGAATAAAGTCCCTACAGAGAGTTTGGGTTTCCCAAAACTCATTTTCTGCCATGCTTTTGGATAAGGCTCATGAACAAAGCAAGAAAGTTGTAAAACACTCAGGTAGTGCAGTTGGATTAACAGAAAATGTTGCCTTAACTGGATGGATGATATCTGGACCAGAACAAGCAAGAATTCTGCAGGAGTTTGAGAAGCAAGATGTCAAAGTGGATACAAGAAGCAATGAACAAGGTTTTGCTACACAGCAGACATTTCAAGACTCAAGTCAACAACTTATGTGGCACAGTTGCTTCGATGGGAAATCCTTTCCTCGAAGAGTCTCCTGAACTGATGACCCTTGATAAGCATCACTGTATTGGCGAAGCTGTCGTAGCCTCTATGAAATCATTGGAAAAAACGGGAAAAGACAAATATTAGATGTTTGTAAAGGCTGTTTTTTTGTGGAAATGACAGAGTCAAGTCACAGCCCCATCAAGAAAAATCACCTCCCTTTTTTCAAGAGACCACAAACAAAATCTCAGTCTAAATCAAACAGCAAACAAATGACCTGAAAATGACCACCGTCTCCTCAGCCAGATGTTCATTGATTGTTAGGTACATCAATATGATTTAA